GTTACTAAGAGTGTAGAGTGGGGTATGATATTATTGTGTAATTAATACGTTAATAATTATCATAATTGTCATAATTAATATGTTATTACTTATCATAATTTAATTAATGAATTAAATTAAATATAACTTTCATAAAATGTATGATCTTTAAAAGAAAAAATTTAGGTACCAATTTTTTTGTAAGCAAGTATATATATTTTTAACACTTTGACTGCAAATTTTAAATAAACTAAATATTATAATTTTTATATAATAGTCTATTTGATCTCAAAAACTAAATATAATGACAGATATATTAAAATGAATTACAAAAAATATTTGAGATTAAAAAATAAGAAAACATTATTTGATAAATGTTTTAAATCGAATTTTTTATTTATATAGCAATCAAAACTGATATATTACATATGTGTTGTATCAAATTTTCTTGATTCATAAATATGAAAATAAAAGTATAATATAAGTATTTTCGTGATTGTGCAAGCTAATTCTAATTTATTGTGTGTTGAATAAAATTGAGTAGAAAAATATAGCTAATGCAAATTTATATTATTTCAGTTTTTATATTAAAGTGTGAGTTAAGAATTATTTGAATAAGAAAGAGGTAGTAATATATTATTTTGGAAATTGTGTTACAATAAAATATTTAATTAGATATTTCATAATCAAAAAAGAAAATGCATATATAAAAATGGATCCTTATAACTTAATTCTCTTGTTGTACGATGATTGGAACTAATATAAGATACTATGTTAGATTTGTATCATACTTTCTAAAGATATTTATATCAAATTCTTAAAATGATTATTTCATTGATTTTTTATGTCACATAAGAACATAAAAATAGAAAAAAAAAATAAAGATACATGAATATAATGGAAGAGAGGGAGTGAATGTATTTATATGTTGATAATCAAAAATAGAAAATAGAGATGAATTTTCAAGAAAAAAAAAAGATAAATTATAATAATGTAAGATGTATATCAATATATCATATAGTCTCTAAAATTTTCTACAGTTGAAATTTTATAATAATATTTTTTTAAAAAAACTCATACAACAAAAATAAACAAAGCAAAAAAATTTCATAAAGAAGCGAAGGAGAGAATGAGAGAATGATATAATGAGACAATGAGAGAATGATATAATGAGAAAATGAGTATATATAGGAAGATAAGTGATGGGAGTTACAATTTCATAAAAAAATTATGGGAGTCAATTATAATTGATTGTGTATTGAAAAAATTGAATGTAAAATATAGTTAATGCAAATTTATGTTATTTCAGTTTTTATATTAAAGTGTGAGTTTAATATATATGATTAAATGTGTTTTGTGGTTTCTTTGTTTTTTTCAGTTTTATATTAAAGTGTGAATCAAATATATAATATTTTTAAAAGTTACATGCCAAGTGGACCAATAAGAAGATGGTAAAATCTTATATATATATATATATGATTTGTGAATAATATGATAGTTATTCTTTGATTTAAATTCATTATATTATTTTCTCAACTGTTTGATAATAGAAAATTAAATAAATTTTGCTTGATAATCTCTTTAATTCTTCTCTTATAAATTAAATTTTAAAAATTAGAAATTATGTTATAAATAATTTATTACCCATATTAATAACTTTAAAAATGTATCTTTAAAGGAGTAGGAAAAAAAAGTTTAAAAATGTATCTTTAAAGGAGTAGGAAAAAAAAGTCATAGCAATTTTCTTTGAATAAAAAATTATAACAATTCCATTTTATGTTTAGCTTATATGATATTTAATTTAATTAGAAACTAAAATTAGGAAAAACATATTTTTGCAACCATGACACTTTTTAAAAAGCAAAGCATACATATAACATATAACTTACAACACAATATCATAAAAAAAAATTTTAAATGTTAGATTATAAATTAATAAAAATGACACATGTCAGAAGCATAGAGCGACACATGTCGCGTTGTGAGGCAAAGTTAAGAAGAAACCTTGTCTTATTATATAAGATTATAAGCATATGACACCTTGTATGAACCATTCAGAATGCAATCGATAGGTTGAAGTAATGCAATACTTTATAGTCTATCATTTTGTCATGGATGATTGCTAGCGTAATAACTCAATAGATTTTAACCACAAGGAAACGGTGAAATTCTTGGTAGTATAATTATGGGCCAAATCCACAAAGGACCGAATGATTACACCAAATACTTATAAGAGTTAGCAACTTAGCAAAGATAAAAGTGAATACAACTAGATTTTCACCCACGATATACCGCGGGACGATATTTTAAAACGTTTTTTTATTAAGTTTGTACTACAGGCTCGCAAAAAAAAATTGTACTACTATATTTGATTGTTAATTCTAAGATTTAACGCGTGGAATATTGCATGATAATTTGGTTTTTATATAATGGTAATTTGATTAAATTAAATAAGTAAGTCTAATATTCAAAATAATAAAATGATGTTGGCATAACATCTTTCGTTTAAATAGTCAAATTTCAGATTAAAATATTTTATGAGTTTTACTATAGTAGAAAACCGTAAAAAATCTATAATCATAGTTATGTAAACTATAACCCGCTCCATAACATGTCCCGTGCTAGAAAATTATCAATAATACTTTAGTACATACATTTTTGTATCGTTTGAGTAATATACGTCCTTTTTCAAAAATTTAAACTGCAACATATGCAAAATAAAAAACAGATCAAAATTACAATAGTTGAAGCTAGTTACAGCAGAGAATACATGAGAGACAAATTTCAAAAACCTAATGTGGCTTTTCAAAATTGTTGAAATACATTTTTGCAAAACTCATTGACACACTGAACAATCCGAAATTAGCTTGTCATACGATGAAACAGTTTCATTGTTGTATTTTCTTACAAAATGAAACAGTTTCGTTGTTGTATTTTCGTAAAACAATGAAACTGTTTCATTTTGCTATTACAAAACCCACTCAACAATCCGAAATTGGCGTATTATTACGATGGGAAGCTCTAGTATCCGAGAATATAATTCTCTTGAATAAAGTAAACTAAAAAGATAAGTTTAGTTTTCTTGCATAATATAGTCATCGAACACGTTTACATGTAAAAATTGTCAAGTGGTTTTGACTTTATAGCTTTTTTTGTAAACTCATCAGATCTCAACCATCTCATGTTATTGGTAACTCTTTTAATTCAAATGATTTAGCATACCACTCAAATTAGTATTTATTTGGTCCCGACGTATGATTCAAATATCCAATAGTACAAAACAAAAAGTTGATTATAAGCCAAAAAGAAACACCAAACACGTTGTAACAAACTATTTGGATTTATCTCATATTTTTAATCAGCCATCAATCATCTAGTCGACATAACTAGAAGAGATTTGATAGAAGCTCGTACAACCACAAAACCGTTGGTTATTCAAAATATTTTGTACTCTTTCTTTATTCATAACTCAAAATATTTACACGAGAACTGATACGAAGTTTATAGACATAATACTTATACTATAAACTCTCATATATACGTATATAGTTATAAACCAAATTAATATAATTAAGATGGTACATAATAATAACACGATTAGTAAGAACATACAGAATATAACCAGCAAAACTCGTAAATAATTAATAGTGAATCCCTATTAAGCAACACAGGTTAAGCTTTAACCGAATCAGAAGAATGAAAAAAAAAAAAAGAATAAAAAGAAGATTTCAACTATCCCATTAAGATAAGGTTGGTCCATGCAGCTTGTATAGTCAGTCTATCGAGCGAACATGTGATACCCATCATAGACAACCTAGTATTTAAGGAACCCTTGTTTCATCACAAATTCATCAATTCAAGCTTATATACATTTTGCAATCAAACAACTGATCAATCGAAAGATGGAAGGCAAAACTTTGATTCTAAGTGTTCTCCTAATGAGCCTTCTCATGGCACAAATCCAAGTTGACGCCAAGAGCTGTTGTCCGACCACCACTGCTAGAAATGTCTATAATACTTGCCGTTTAGCCGGATTATCCAGAGCAGTATGTGCAAACCGCAGTGGCTGCAGACTCGTTAATGGGTCATGTCCCAACGGATATCCTAAAGAGAATCTTGAAAACACAGGTAAATCAAAACATAATGTGTTTTATTACGTACGTTGTTTGTCTTACAGGAAAAATCAAGATTAATGGTTTCTTATATGTTTTGTCTCAAGGTGATGCTGTCACTGAATACTGCAAGGTTGGGTGTGTATCTTCTGTGTGCGGTGCTTTAGCCACTCTCCAAAACTCTGGTAAAGCTAACTCTCAAAACTCCTTATCATTACTATCAATTTTCTTAAAAAATAATAAACAAGAGAACATATATATGATACATTTCAAATTTTATTTCGATAAATAGATGCAAGTGAAATTGTGAATGAAGCTGCTGGTAACTGTGCCTTGGCATGTTCTAAAGTCTGCAACAAAGGTTCGATGAATGCAGTTGGAACCGCCTAGACAACCTTATTCACAAAGATACGAAGTACATCATCTATGGAGTGTTGTTTTTCATGTTTTTCATCAATAATTGTGACAAAAGTGTAGAAGATTATCGATCATATGCTTTCTATTCCCTATCTTTTCAATAATATGTAATTGTGTCATATGCTTTTTCGTTCATATGCTTTTTCGTTCGATCATTAAAGTTGCTTTGTGCTTAGCTAAATTAGATAGAAACATAAAACACCTTAGTAACAAACTATTTGGATTTTTGTGTCATATTTTAATTTGCCATATTAGTCTAGACAATAACTAGAAGAGATTTGGTTATAACTTATAAACCACAAGAGTTAAGAGTTGGTTAAAAAACCAGAAAACACGTTTTAACAAACTACTACGTTCTTATCTTTCCCTCTTCAAACTACTCATACTCTTCTTAATTCTTAATTCAAAATATTTACACGAGAAGTGCTACAAACTTAATAGACATATATAACACTTATAATATAAATTCAAACGAAAATAGTAGTGAATCCCTATTAATTATCCTAATTAATTTAAAGCGTTAATCGAAAGAAAGTAAAAATGAACAAGAATATTTCATCAATCCATCAAGATAAGGTTTGGTCCACGTCGCATGTACAGACATAATCTATAGAGAAAATGTGATAAACATATCATATGAAGTGTGTGGTTGCTAATCATAGACCAACTAGTATTTAAGCGAGCCTTGTTTCATCGTTACCATTTCATCAATACAAGCTTATAACTCCGATCCCCACATATACATTTTGCATTCAAACAACTGATCAGTCGAAAGATGGAAGGCAAAACTGTGATTTTAAGTGTGCTCATGGCACAGATTCAAGTCGAATCAAAGAGTTGTTGTCATGGCACAGATTCAAGTCGAATTAAAAATGTTAAAAATTATAACCATTGTGTATTGTATAAAAATAAGTATTATTTTAATATTTACAATATAAAGTGATTAAAAACAAAAGAGAAAGAAAAAGAAATAATGTAAGTATTAGTTAGATGGCATTTTTGTTATTAAGAGAACTTTATAAGGTTATAAATGCACAATATTTTATTTGTATTTCCCCAAGTTTTGAAAGTTACTAATGATGCAATTTGTTTTAAAAAATGACTGGGAATAATGGAAATAACTTCTATTTTAATTTGGGAAAAATGTCAAATAATTTGCCAACTTTCAAATTTGCGACGAAAAAATTCGCGAACTTTGATGATACCATTTTAATCAACAACTTTCTGTTGACTTTACTCTAAAATGCCGAAGTTATATTGACCGGGCCGATTTGTTCTTGTGGTTAAGTCTCTGTGACGAGCTTAAGAACGGGGTTAACTGCCCGTTAGTGGTTTTCGTCTGTGCTTAAACGCAACTTTTAAGAGAGACGAAGAAGCTCAAAATCTCCAAATCGAGTTCTTCTTTCAAAATCCCAACCCTAGAAAAATTCAATTCTCTCTCAAATCCCCAAATCGAAAATCATGAGTTCCAGCTCCATGTCAACAGATGAAGTGAAGCTCTATGGCGAGCGTGGTGTGTCATCGGAGTGTGTTTGTGGCTTAGGTGTGACTATATTCACATCCAAAACTCAAGATAACCCGGGGAGACCTTTCTTTCGTTGTTCAAGCAAACGAGATGTGAAATCTTGGACAAGCAAAAAAAGATGTAAGTATATGTGTGTAATTAACAAGTTTAGGCTGAAAAATCTATGTAAGCTAACAATGAGTCATGTCTTTGTGCATTAGACTCATTTTAATTTGCCATCAGTCTAGACATAACTAGAAACTAGCTCCTACAGCCACAAAACATATTATAGCAAACTACTATGTTCTTATTTTTCCCTCTTGAAACTACTCATACTCTTCTTAATTCTTAATTCCAAATAATGTATGTATTGGGAGATGAAGAACCGGAGATCGGTTAAGAGATCGACGGTCGAGATGATTGCTCAAGAATATGGAAATTATGAAGATGTGAAAGAATCTAGATCCTCTTATTTAGGATATTTACCTTTATGTACAAATGTATTATTTACATTAGTCATTATTTCAGTTTAGGAAATTAGGTTTACTCATATCACTATATATATCGGTATATTATGTAACATTATTTTTATGAGAGTCTAATATAATTCTTCCTCTAAACACTTTTGTGTTCTTTACTCTCATCAATTTATCAGTATGTACACGAGAAGTGATATATACAATTACAGACATAAATATAAACTCCTATGCAATTAAAAGTGAATCCTTATTAAGTATCCTAATTAATTTAAAGTGTTAATCAAAAGAAAGTAAAAAAAGAGAGAAGAAGATTGATTCAACTATCTATTAAGGTACCGACATAGTCTACAGTGCATGTGATAAATTTATCAAACGAAGTATGTGGTTGATAAATTTAAGCGAGCCTTGTTTCATCGTTACCATTTCATCAATACAAACTTATAACTCCCCACATATACATTTTGCATTCAAACAACTGATCAGTCGAAAGATGGAAGGCAAAACTGTGATTTTAAGTGTGCTCATAGTGAGTCTTGTCATGGCACAGGTTCAAGGCGAACCAAAGAGTTGTTGTCCGAAACCTAGTAATAGAAACTGTTACAACATATGCTATTTTGCTTATGGCATAGGTTCTCACTCAGCTTGTGCAACTGTACAATGCACCAAGGCATGTTCTGAGTTCTGTACCAAGGGCTCATCCAATGCACAATGCAGTTGAAGCTGCATAAGAAACATATATATCAATGATCTATGTGTTGTTGTTTTCCCTGTTTCAATAATTATCGTGTATGTGGATTAAATAAAATGCTAGAAACTTGAGCTAGCTTCTACTATGTGACGTAGAGGAGGGTTATTGATCCTAGATTGTTAACCCCTTCTACTTGCTATTATCTAAATAAAGAATGATAATGTGTCTTTATGGACTATAATCAAAAGAAACTCTCGCTTTAACGTAATTTTCTGACAATCATATATTGACTTACAAATCTCAAATTATAGTCGATCATTTTGTCATGGTAGCTATATTTATGGGCCAAATCTACAAGGGACCGAATGATTACACCAAATACTTATAAGAGTGTTTTAAAGCTAAAGTTAAGGTCAAGGAACTTTGCAAAGATAAATTAATTAATGAATTGGGTAGAAATACAATACAAACTAAAAGTGAAATTGGGAAATAAATAAGCCATGAACTATATACCAACAATAGTCAAGTGATTTTGAGTTTAGAGCTCTTATGTAAATCAGCACTTTCATCATCTCAATGATCTCATGTTATTGGTAATTTGTTTCTAATATTTTAGCACACCACTCAAATGATTAGGGAACAACCATTTATTTGGTCCCAACATATTAATTGTCGTGCTAACGAAGGTCCCAAGCCATTATGTGCAAACTACAGTGGCTGCAAAATAATTGATAGTGGTAAATGTCCTGACGGATGTCTTAAAGATATTCACAAAAACACTGGTAAAATTGATTATTATTGTGCTTTATTAAATATTTCATTTTTCTTACCCGAAAAATCAAGATTTCATTTTTTCTTTTTTGGTTCGATGAATGCAGTTGAAACTGCTTAGAAACCCATATCCATGATGATACCACCTACATCTAGAGGTGAAGGGGATGGTCATCTTTCAAAGACTCAAAGTGTTGCTTTTCATGCATGTTTTCAATAATTGTCATGATTGTATATGCCTTTTATTTCCTATTTTAGTAATTGTGTCTTTCCCTCAACGGCAATTTTCATTTCATAAAAAAAAAAAAAAAAAAATTTCGTTTCATCTCTAAAATATCAGAAATATTATTCAACACTTAACCCTTAAATTATTTTATTAATATTCACAAGAAAAACTGAAACTTGTATATTAAAATACATAAAACAAAAATAAATTAGGGGGAATTTCAAAAATACCCCTTTTCATATACCTCTTTTTAAAAATACCCCATTTTCAAACTTTATCAAAAAACTCACTAAAAATGTTGAAATTTATCCAAATATGTGTGTAAGCTTATAAATATATACACAAATTACCTTTATATGTGTATAAAACTTTATATACCTTTCATAAATACCGTAAAAATAAATTATAAAAACCTTATAAAAACCTTATAAAAACCGTATAAACCCTTTTAAAAACCTTTTAAAAACCTTATAAAACTTATAAAAACGATTTAAAACTATTTAAAACATTTTAAAATATTTGTATCGAATCTCCCAGTAGTAGTTATTATATAGAAGTATCTTATAAACTATATAAAACTTTATAATTTTTTATATTTAAAAGGGGTATTTTTGAAAATGGATAGATAAAGGGGGTATTTTTAAAAAGGGGTACACCAAAAGGGGTATTTCTCAAAAATTCTCTATAAATTATATATGTGGCAAACAAAAATTTATTATATGTGTGGCAAATTATATAATTTCTAAAACATTTTATATTATGAAACACATATGGTTTAATATAACAAACATATTCCATCTTTCTTTGGGTTGCTAAAAATGATATTTCCACTTATACTCTATTACTCTCTAACTTGGACATATGTTTGAGATAACAGAACCCCTCTTCTAATTACCCAAAACTTTTATTTACCAAAATGAACTATGAGGCCACCACATTAGTATGATATAAATGTGAAATTATGCCCTTTGCCATAGGTATAGAAGTCTGTTCTAAATACACTATCATCGTAAAGTTTGAAACATGGCCTTCTTAGCTCAGTGGTAGAGCGTGTGGCTTTTTCAATCTCCATAGACGGCGTATCTTTTTCTTTGTTTAGCAAAAAAAAAAGTTCGAAACAAAAGATGCATTAGTTGTAAAAACGTTTTTTCTTTGAATATAATTTAATATTGTTTCAATATAAAAAATGATCGTAGTTTGATATGCAATTTAGTTACTTTCTATACTATGCGCCACTCAACTCTACGGAGAAACCACCACAAGAGACTACGCATAATGCATTGCTTTCATTCAAGTAATCGTTGCTTTTTTATACATGGTTATTCTTATTTTGACAACGAACCAAGTATCTTATTTTTCTTAACTCTTCTCCAAACATGATTATTATTATTTTAAATCAACATATTCAACAATTTCAATTGAAATATCAGTTTTTTTATTATATAAATTGTAAATTGAATTCCAGTAAAAAAAACACATAGAATTCAATTATGAACTTATTAACCAATTCACTTAGTTATAATTAAAATGGTATGTTTAGACACTTTTGTTGATTATGTTTATCGGTTGTGAACTTATATTATCAACCAAATCTAGTTAACTTAGAAAGGTCCAAAAACATTAAATTTACGGTCATGCTTCTAATTTATATTTCTTCCAAAATGGAAGGAGCCAAAAGCAACTGATCAAGTGGAGACTAGTAAACCATACACATTCACTCATTTCCTCACAAAAGAAAGATAAGATAAGGGTGTATGTACCTCTCCTTAATCCTGTGGCAGTTAACAACGTTATCATGAATCATGGACCCTTTGATTCTTAGGGCTTTTTGCCTCTTGAGGTTCTTGCTATATATAGTAACCAAACCAATAGAAAAGCCATTAAGTAAGAGAAAAGAGAAAACCAAGACGAAGAAGTAGTAATGGCTTCCTCTATGCTCTCCTCCGCTGCTGTGGTTACATCCCCGGCTCAAGCCACCATGGTCGCCCCATTTTCCGGCTTGAAGTCATCCGCTGCTTTCCCAGTCACCCGCAAGGCCAACAACGACATTACTTCAATTGCAAGCAACGGCGGAAGAGTTAGCTGCATGAAGGTAAATGTCATTTAGAAAAACATTCTTTTGGCAATTAGTGCAATTGAACAAACCTGTGAATAACCGGAATTGGGAATTATAGGTGTGGCCACCAATTGGAAAGAAGAAGTTTGAGACTCTATCTTACCTTCCCGACCTTTCCGATGTCGAATTGGGAAAGGAAGTTGACTACCTTCTCCGCAACAAGTGGATTCCCTGCGTCGAATTCGAGTTGGAGGTAATTAATTCATAAGTATAGTTACATTGCTAGAAACCTAACTCAATAACATGATTTTATAATCCGGAAAACAATGTGAATAGTCCTATATCAATTGTATTGAATGGTTTTTCGATGCGTGTATAGCACGGATTTGTGTACCGTGAGCACGGAAGCACACCCGGATACTACGATGGAAGGTACTGGACAATGTGGAAGCTCCCATTGTTCGGATGCACTGACTCAGCTCAAGTGTTGAAGGAGGTCGAAGAGTGCAAGAAGGAGTACCCCAACGCCTTCATTAGGATCATCGGATTCGACAACACCCGTCAAGTCCAATGCATCAGTTTCATCGCCTACAAGCCACCAAGCTTCACCGAGGCTTAATTTCTTTTCCGGAATATTCAATGTTGGCTATGGGGAAACCAATTTTTTTGGTCAATGTAAATTCAAAGTAATTATCAGCCAACTTAAAAGTTGAGGAATTGTTTTGCAAAAATGAAAAAGTTAAAAGGTTTTTTTTTTCTATCACTTTATTTTTCGTCTTAGTCATTTTTACTCTTTTATATTCGTTTTAGCTCCTTTTAATTTCAACAACAGTTTTTTCCTTTAATTTCTCTTCATAATTCTTGATTTTGAGTCTTGACTCTCTAGACTAACATCCAACAAAAAGAGATATGGACCTTTTTGCTAACTTTAAAAAACAAATTGCACATGGCAATGTATCATGGATAATTATTAAGTTTGATTCAAGTCCAAAAAGTATATGGCAACGTATCAAGCGTGAATATTTAAAATTTGGAAATTGTTTTACCTTAAATAGATAATTAACTATTCAAAGCTATCACAAGGAAAAGTAATCAATGTTCCAAAATATTCAAGATTAACGAATAAATATGAAATTATTCTTGCTTCTATATGATGATGAAAGAATCCAAATGTTTGTTTTAGGTTTTTTTTCTTCGAGAAAATACAAAAAATAAAATATCAATTCTCTGAAATTCTACACAATCAAGATTAAAAAACGGAAAAAATACAAGAATTAAGTTGTGTATTTTTTAATTTCCATTTTTCTCCATTTTATGTCGTATTTATTTCGCATAATTTTCTTATGTCAAACAAAAAGGATGGAGAAAGAAAAAAAAAAAGCGAACAACAAAGAGTACCTATGATCTTACGAAAGAGTATCTAAGATCATGTAACTTGAACGTCAATTGCGTAAGAGATCTTGAAAGGACTCAGGAGTTTGAGGTATGATAGTTTGAGATGAGAGAAGTGGGGCACTTTTATAAATAACAAAAAGTTTGGAACGAATTTGTAATTACCAAAAGTTATGGGGCGATTTCATAATTACCAAACGTTTTGGGTCATTTTTTAATTAAACAAAACTGTGGGGAAAAATTTGTCATTATTTTAAGTTGTGCGGAAATTTCGTATTTACTGAAAGTTGTGGGGCAATTTCGTATTTACATAAAGTTGTGAGGCAATTTCGTATTTACCGGAAGTTTTTGGGCAATTTTGTAATTACCAAAAGTTGTAGGGTAATTTCATAATCACCAAAAGTTGAAGCGTTATTTTGTAATTACCAGAAATTGTGGGGCAATTCTTAATTACAGAAAGTTATGGAAAATACAGTAATTTTCCATGGGCGATTTCGTAGTTAAGAACAGATATGTGGTGCTCTTTTTAGCTGTCAAAACTTGTTTTATCATTTCATAAATATCGATATATGGGGGTATTTTGTAATTATAACAAAATGTATGGTAATTTAAAAAGATGTTTGGCATTTTGTAATTACTGGAATTGTGAGTCAGCTTTAATTAACAACATATATGGGACTATTTCATAATTACTAGAATATCTAAAAGATTACGCTTACGCTTTCATTAGACCGGCCATAAACAAATCGTGAGAGCCCAATGAACATTTGTATTGAATTCCAAGTTTTTTACAGCATATATTATTTGCAAATAGGCCCCAACAATATTTATTTACAAATTGGCCCCATATTATTGTTACTTTGGCCTCCAAATTTTCTGACCGGACCCTGCTTAAAAGAAATGGATGCATGCTTTGTCGTCTATATCAAGCCTAAACTTTGTATGGAGTTGTATAACAAGACATCATTTACGAGAATGATTAGGATCAAGCAAGAGCTAATCTATTTGTGAGAAGAATGATGAGTTTCGTTTGGTTTAGCCGTTTAGGTGAGAGTGATACTGTGATAGTGAAAGAAACTTACTTTCAGAAATGCCCTAATTAAACTATATTGGGGAATAGTTGAACCCGCCAAGAGATGAAACATATTCAGAATAAATTTGTTTTTTTCCGAAGAATGTTGTATGCTTTGCAACAGTAGGATTTGAACCTTGTGTAGTACTAGCCGTAAGACATAATACATAGTAGCCAACAGTTCAAACCTGATAACAAAATAGGATCTCTACCACGAATAAGTGCGAAATTAACGTGAAATATGTAAGGAGGAGATTGTAGACACAAATCAGAAACTAGTCATTATCACAATTTCAAAATAGATTTGCAAAGCCGAGTGTTTACAACAAGTTATATAGGTAATATAAATTGTGGAAAAGTTTGGTTCGTCAAACAGAAGTTGACTGCTCAGTTATGTTCGATTACGTATTTACACGTCTAGTTAGATAATTTTCTATAGTACGTAATAATTGATTGTGAACTAAGTCGTCTTGATCCTGTGGTAAAGGGAGGTAAGTTCTGCCACATGGGTTCGTGTAGCATTGGCCATGGGAGTTCGAAATTTAGCATGGTTTTTCCGACTCCAGAAAATTAGTGTTTGGACCTAAAAACCTTTCGGAATTACTCCTGAATTATAAAAATAAAAATAAATAATTATTGATTGTGAGCTTATTAGCCGAATCAAATTAACCAAAATTGAATTATACATTACTATGATAATATAAGTACGTTACTTTATATTTAAGGCCATGCGTTTGGTATCTCTCTTCCTCAAAAGGAAGAAGCCAAAAGCAACCGGTCAAGTGGAGATCAGTAGGCAGTAACCATACACACAACTCACTCGTCTTTCCCCACAATAGAAAGATAAGAAAATGGAGTTTTCTGCCACATGGCCTTATCCTAGTGGCCCGTATCGATAAGGGTGTCAACACCTTTCCTTAATTCTGTGGCAGCTAATGACGGTATCATGAATGATGGACCCTTTGATCACTGTAGGGCTTTTTGCCTCTTGTGGTTCGCACTATATAAAGATGAACAAATCAATAGGCAGACAAGTAGTAAAGTAAGAGAAAAGAGAAAAAAAGAAGAAGAGAAAAAACAAGAAGAAGTTGTAGTAATGGCTTCCTCTATGCTCTCCTCCGCCGCTGTGGTTACCTCCCCGGCTCAAGCCACCATGGTCGCTCCATTCACCGGCTTGAAGTCATCCGCTGCTTTCCCCGTCACCCGCAAGGCCAACAACGACATTACTTCCATCGCAAGCAATGGCGGAAGAGTTAGCTGCATGAAGGTAATGTCATTAATAAAAATAGTCTTTTGTAATGTGCAATTAGTACAATTGAACAAAACTGAGATTAACCGGAATTGGGAATTATAGGTGTGGCCACCAATTGGAAAGAAGAAGTTTGAGACTCTATCTTACCTTCCTGACCTTTCCGATGTCGAATTGGGAAAGGAAGTTGACTACCTTCTCCGCAACAAGTGGATTCCCTGTGTCGAATTCGAGTTGGAGGTAATTAACTCATAAGTCTTCCTTGGTCTCTAAGTATACTTACATTGCTAGAAACCTAACAATGTGAATAGTCCTATATCAATTGTATTGAATGGTTTTTTGATGCGTGTATAGCACGGATTTGTGTACCGTGAGCACGGAAGCACACCCGGATACTACGATGGAAGGTACTGGACAATGTGGAAGCTCCCATTGTTCGGATGCACTGACTCAGCTCAAGTGTTGAAGGAAGTGGAAGAGTGCAAGAAGGAGTACCCCAACGCCTTCATCAGGATCATCGGATTCGACAACACCCGTCAAGTCCAATGCATCAGTTTCATCGCCTACAAGCCACCAAGCTTCACCGAAGCTTAATTTCCCTTTCTTGAATATTCAAGCGTTGACTATTTTGGAATCCAATTCTGTATGGTCAACGCAAATTTTAAGAAAAATAATTAGCCGACTTCAAAGTTGAGAAACTCAAAAGTTGAATGTTATTTTTATATATCAATTTCCCTTTTATTATGTCTACTCGTATAATTTCACTTTTGCTCTTAGCCTTTTTTTTCTTTTTTCTTAGATACTTTAACAACATTTTAGTTCCTATAAATCCCCGTAATAGTTCTTACTCCCTAGACTAAACCATTAACCTTAATTTATATAAAAAGAGAAAACTGTTTGCTACTTTTTTTGAGAAATTTTGCATATGAAAGCAATAACAAAGATGCCTCCATCAATCCTTTTGATACAATTGATAGTGAGGAGAGATAGCGAAAGGTCGTAAAAGACATAAAGAAAATCCAAATGTAACTCATAACACCAAAACACATGTATTCCAAAACCCCTAAGTGGGATATTAAGTTTAATTTGAAGTCCAAGAATCACTGAGATGACATCATATCAATCAATGATCAACAAAGACTGAAATTTATGAACTATATGAATTTGGAAAATTTTGGAAAATTTGAAACTGACGTTAAATTAATCACTTATTTTATGTAGCTGAAATTTCTAATAAAAATTTCAAGTTATAATATAATCAAAATGGTTTAGTTTTCTATACAAAAAAAAAATGTTTTTGGATTTTTCGATGCAAACGGAATACAAACCATTAATGTGCAAGATTTCGAAGATAAATCACAAATATAGTTAGAAGTTTTGAAATTAGCGAACAATATGTCCATATCTAGGATTTATTCACACCTTTTTGGTATCAAATAAAATCCAAGGTAAAAAGGAAAACAAAAATAAGGACTTAAAAAAGACAATAACGTATACAACAAAAAGGTGAGAAAATTTTGTAACTTAAATGGATGGGTCAGGACTTATGACTTAGGATGGTCTTAGTTTTGACAAATGATATATGTGGTTGAAATGTGGAGTGGTATGGAGCTTGTGATTCATTTCCCTAACAGGAGAGCTTTTACATGACAATGTTTGGTGATTTTGTAGCTTTAAGGTGATAGTTGTGAAACCATGACCATAGCTTTATGTGGCTTTAGGCCTTAGGGTCTTCTTGTCTCAGTTCCACACCATCAATTGAAATGAGTTAATTATGATCATTCCTCATGAGCCTTTGTTGCTTGCATGGTTAAGTTGACATGGTGGTGGGAATCTACTTGAAGTGCCATATTCATGCTTGAGTAGATTTAAGTGCAATGGCGTTGGCGTGGCCGGTTCTAAGGAATGCGTCGATAGACTTATTAATTCGACTATGACAAAGAATGCTTCGAAGTAGCTAAAGGTAGATATGCTCGACTGAAAAATGTATTTTGAGGTGATCCAAAGGGTCACAAAATCGAGTGGTAGCTGGTACGTGTAAAGTATTAAAAGCTGGCCTTAGAGGAATAAGCCAAAAACATACTTATTATCGGCGAAAAAGGAGAAAAGACAAAAACTAGTAACCGCTTACGTTGTTGTTTACGTTCAAGTCCGGTCTTGTAAGAATGACAATAACACACACTAAAGTAGATGTTCTAGTTAATTTTCAACAAATTTGATTATTAGCTATGCATTATGTGCGTATATATAAATCAAAGTGGTACCATACGGATGCTAATATTTTTTAAAATAATCAAAGAGGTTCTTGGCCGAAACTCATACATCCTTTCAGGTCCGAGACCAAAGCATGTTATATGGTCTCGTCCCAAAATCTACTCGAACCGGCGACCTCTAAACTTTTGTCAGAGAACTTTACCAATTGAGCTATTAGCACTTGGTTATACGGATGCTAATAACATAAAATGTTAAGTGTTTTTTGTTTCTTCTAAATAACTAAAAAGCTATGGGTTATAAAACAAAACATTTTAAATGGTCCTCTTCCATGTAGCTCTCGAAACCAAAACATTATAGTTACATGTTCTACTTTACAAACAATTTAGCTTATAAGAAATCAGATAAAACTCCATACTTTTTTTCTTCATTTTATCTTCTTCGTTTAATATGCAACATTATTCACCAAATCACGTTAAGCCAAACCAAATCATGCATGGTAAATAAAAGGTCCAAAAACATTAAATTTTAAGGGCATGCGGCTAATTTATTTTCTCCAAAAAGGAAGGAGCCAAAAGCAACCGATCAAGTGGTGGAGACTAGTAACCAAACACAATTCACTCGTTTCCTCACAATAGAAAAGATAAGATAATGGAGTTTTCTGCCACATGGCCTTATCCTAGTGGTCCGAATCGATAAGGGTGTCAACACCTTTCCTTAATCCTGTGGCAATTAACCACGTTATCATGAATCCTGGACCCTTTGATCATTAGGTCTTTTTGCCCCTTATGGGTTCTCACTATATAAAGATGACAAAACCAATGGACAAAACAAATAAGTAAGAGTAAAGAGATAAAAGAAGAAGAGAAACAACAAGAAGAAGTAGTAATGGCTTCCTCTATGCTCTCCTCCGCTGCTGTGGTTACCTCCCCAGCTCAAGCCACCATGGTTGCTCCATTCACCGGCTTGAAGTCATCCGCTGCTTTCCCAGTCACCCGCAAGGCGAACAACGACATTACTTCCATCGCAAGCAATGGAGGAAAAGTTAGCTGCATGAAGGTAAATAATGTCAATAATAAAAACATTCTTTTGAAATGTGCAATTAGTGCAATTGAAGAATAACTAGAATTGGATTTGGGAACTATAGGTGTGGCCACCAATTGGAAAGAAGAAGTTTGAGACTCTATCTTACCTTCCTGACCTTTCCGATGTCGAATTGGGAAAGGAAGTTGACTACCTTCTCCGCAACAAGTGGATTCCTTGTGTCGAATTCGAGTTGGAGGTAACTAACTCATAAGTCTTCATTGGTCTCTAAGTATACTTACATTGCTAGAAACCTAACAATGTGAATAGTCCTATATCAATTGTATTGAATGGTTTTTCGATGCGTGTATAGCACGGATTTGTGTACCGTGAGCACGGAAGCACACCCGGATACTACGATGGAAGGTACTGGACAATGTGGAAGCTCCCATTGTTCGGATGCACTGACTCAGCTCAAGTGTTGAAGGAAGTGGAAGAGTGCAAGAAGGAGTACCCCAACGCCTTCATTAGGATCATCGGATTCGACAACACCCGTCAAGTCCAATGCATCAGTTTCATCGCCTACAAGCCACCAAGCTTCACCGAGGCTTAAGTTCCCTTCTTAAAAAACATTCATATGACTTATCTCTACTCATTTCATTTCCTATTGTCTGTGTTTTTTTTTTCTTCTGTTTCTGAGACATTTCATATCGGATTATCAAATGTCTGATTTATGAATATATAATGTTATTTCTATATCTCCTACGTCTTGATTTTTTCCGATGGTTGATTAGGTTTAGAATAGTTATTGCGATATGAAAAGAGACGAAAGTGACTTGAAGAACAAAAACTTATAGTGGTACGTAATATATATTACTAGAGGAAGATAACATTGTAACCTAAGTATAAAATTTTGATCTCATATTTTATTTAGTTTTACATTATATATACATTTACAATATTCTTGGTAAATTATCACTATAATAGAAGATAAATTGTAAAGAGGAAACAAAATTTAATTTATTTTTCTTATATAATATATATGAAAGTAAAATTCCCTTTATAAGGACAGTGAAACATATGTTTGTAAATGTCAGTCACATAGAGTTAATACCATAAAGGAAAGGTTGGTCCACTTGAAAACTGCGATAGACACATTTGTGGACAGTGCCAGTGCCAGTGCCAGACAGAAAGATAAGGTTTGTAGATAAGAGTTCACTTTAAAATATATGATTAAGACCATCTTTCTTAATGATCCCAAATAGTGTGAAACTTGTGTGTCAATGTTTAAGTTCATTGACTCTATGTAAATCACAAGAAAAAGTCATAAAAATGAATAACGGAAGTTTTCTATAATTGTTGTTGACTTTCAAGCTTTTGGTTCAAACTTTAATCTTAAAAATGAAAATAAATAGAAAAGCTAAAATATATTATTATTTCATTGCTAATTAGCATGTATTTCCTCATGTTTTTAGATTTTTAACGATTTCTACACCTAATATAATTTCTATACTCATCTTGGGTTTATAACACAAGGAAAAAATAGTCTTTATACTGAATAATTAATTGTACTTGTGGAAGATTAAAGAGTGTGTGGTAGATTAGGAACTAAAACTAGATTTGATGGTATTTAGGGGCATTTCTCTATTATTTATAATTATAAAAAAAAAATTCAGTAAAAAATGTTTATGTATTAGTATAGTATTTTATTTAAACTAGAAGAACTAACTTTAAAATATTTTATTTATATATGCAGTTAACAAAGTGTATAATATTTTTTATATGTGCAAAGAAGATTTAAATTAATGCATGGTATGATTCATTTATTAAAAAAAGAAAAATAAGAAATACTATATGGTGATGATATACAATAATTTTTCAATATCTTTGTCCATCTTCAAAATCCTATCAACTATTATCTATGTATATAAATCTCACCAATCTTAATATTTCCTAACTTAAAAAATTATCTTTTTTTTGAATACTTTGGATATAACTTTCTTACAATAAAATTTTAATTTTAATTTTATTTTGAAAATAAATAACTTGTCAATTAGACGGACCCTAATTTATATAAGAAAATATGATATTCAATTAATATTGATTAATTTTTATTTTTTGTTAATATTATGATTTTTCAAATTTTAACACATACAATATTTTTAGTTCATACGTGATAACATAAATTTTAACCCGTGTTTTTACGCGGACCTAATATATAATTTCACTAACACATACAATCTTACTCTTTAGTTAAACCAACTCTCACCGCTCAATTCATCATCACTGCGTCATAACGCTGCCACCATCCCCACCCAAACGCAAACGCAAACCATGTCCACTCCTCTTCATATGTCAACAACATTTCCGGCCAATCCTCGACCAACTTTGAATTAGCTATTTCCATCTCTTCCTCCATATTATTCTCCACCACACCTTTATGATCTTTCTCCATAATATTTTGTAGTGTCTCTTCCTTCGACTTCATTACCACCAACGGTTTCTTATGTTTAAGCGACAATGGTTTCTTCATGCTTTCTTTTTGAACACTTATTCGAGCTTTCGCGGTCATTCTCGCGTGTTTTGATTGATCCCTTCGAGCTTCTTCCCCTTTTCTTGATCTGTTTCTCTCTTTACCTTCATACACTGAGGTTACACGAGCTCTCTTCATAGAATCCACGTGTGTTCACACATTTTTCAACATCAACCATTAGGTGTTTTATAACTCGATAAGAATAATAGGATAAGACTTGCTTAATATCTCTCGTTTATAAAACGTGTATTCAAATGTGTCAACGTATATACATTAGTTGTTACACTTACACGTATGAGTCTCCAACGGGTTTAAATTCTTTTATATCATATATAAGATCAGATCTTAACAAATTTTAGCTTAAGATACTTGTTAAGATCCTATCAATAATGTTGCCCTAAGACCAACATTATCAAAGGTATCTTATATAAGATACTTTCCTATGTAAATCTTAGCTCTAAGATACACTTGATAATGTTGCACTTAAGATCAACGAATCAAGCACAAGAAGTCAAAAGGAAGCAATAAAGTTAAGAGCAAAGAATCGAACACAAGTTTTCAAAAGAACAAGATTCGAAATACGCAAAAGTAGGGAAATGTAAAAGAAAAGCTAGCTAAAGATGAAGAAAAAGTGATTTAACGTGAAGTCTTGGTTATATGCATGATGATCCAGCATTAGTTAATGGTGCTCTCGAGCGTTTCTAATGTGTAATGTAGTAAGTGGACATCCATGCAAATTACCAACGTAACATTTTCGTTTGACTTTATAAATATTAAGTTCCAAAAAGTTTTGGTCTTTTCTCAAATTATTTTTGTTTGGGGTGTGAGCATGAATCTAATTTTATTATTTATCAAATTCCATATGCTATCGAATTTGAATACTTTAATTTAAAGTATTTTATGGTTAAAAATTTTGAAAATTTTAGATTCCTTAATTTGGAGAGAAACTATTTTGGTAAGTTGGTAACCAATTTAGAAGTCGAAAAAAAAAAAAAAAGACAATTTAGAAAAAAAAAACTTTTTTATTACGTCTTATCGATGTAAAGAAATCAATATCATCATATAGAGATTTTTTTAATTTTATTTTTTATGACCACCATGCAATGTCAATAATTCTCAATTTTATCTGGTTCTTTAAAGTTACAAGTCTGTGATTTTGCACAAGAACACAGCTCGAAGCAACATGCTGAAGCAACTATGGTTTCCACCATTTTTGTTCTGAAACACTCTTTTAAACCATGATTAAAAATCGAATCGAAGTTAAATACCAATGCAAAACTATGAGCAAGTTTTGTTCTTCGGAGACTTCAATGTGAAGTCCACTTCTTATACTAATAACCACTCACCAAGAGCTGGACAGTGCAACCTGATGACTTGTTGTTGTAGTGTTCCATCATCTCCGCGATAACCTCAGACACTTGCGGGGCTCTTAGCTGTGTAGTACCATTCTCTTCAATATAAATACTTGTCTCCTTCAAACAAGGAAAATAGTCCAAGAAATGCTTTATCATGTGCATCTCTTTCATTGTTCCTTGGAACCCTTTAATCTCTACCACTTTTACTGGACAAGATGTGAGTGAACGACCTTTTTCTTCTCGAGAAACGCAGTCACAAGCATCCCCGCATTTATCTGTGACATGGTGTAAGAGACCCTGAAAGCTCATAAAGGAAATGGTAAGAGATTCAATTCAAAATGTGAACACTATCTTTGGCAAATGAGTTGTTTTAATTAGGCCTGGGCAAAAAAACCGGAACCGAAAATCCGAACCGGAACCGATCCGAAAAACTAGACCCGAATCCGAACCCGAAATTTTAGATTTATCCTATTGGGTCCTAAACTCCTCTACCCGAAAACCCGAACCCGAACCGAACCCGAACCCAAAAATACCCGAAATATATATGTATTTAAATATTTTAGGACCCGAATACCCGAGTTCTCTATTCAAATATCCGAATTTATACCGAAATTCCGATTTTTACCCGAAAATCCCGGTAATTATTAAAAAAATTCCGAATTTTTATCCAAAAATCTAGGTATTTACCCAAAATTTTGGGTATTTGTCCGAAAACCCGAAAATTTTCGGGTATTCGGGTAAATTTTCGGGTATTTGTGTACCCGAAAAATTCTCGGATTTTTAACGGTTCTGAAAATTTATACCCGAACCGACCCGAACCCGAATGGACCCGAACCGAAACCGAAGCGAATTTTTATGTTTACCCTATTTGGTCCTAAACTACTCTACCCGAAAAACCCGAACCCGAACAGTTTTTACCCGAACCCGAACCGAGTACCCGAATGCCCAGGGCTAGTTTTAATACCTCAAGAACAAGAGTATCAAAATGTGGACAGTTCATTAGAAGAACTGGCATCGCTTGCCATCCTAGACTTTTTTCACTCTTAATAGTTAACGATTTGAGGTTGTTGAAGACAAGCATCGATTCACAACACAGGGAAAGAATCTGAAAACAAAACAAATCACAATTATACATTTTGTCGTTACAGGTTTAAAAACAGGACCTTCGCTAGTTTATGAGCTAACGACTGTCCTGGTTTTCCTTCTTTTATTTCCTTGAAACCAATTGAGTAACGATATTACAAGAGAGGAAAGAAAAACAAAACTGACCTCGAGAGTATTCGGAGACAAGTTCAGACACTGAACATTTCGTATACCATTCATAAGCTTCCCCACATTTACTAATCGGTGAACAAAATCATCCTCCGCCCAATTCGGCGTTCTTGCTCTCTCGATTTGATCATCAGTTAACAAAAGGCTGATACTGGCCTCAAATAAGTTCTCCATTTTAACCACAGGGTAGTCTTTAGCAGTATACTCAGAGTAACTGAAGTAATCAAGACTAGGTGTATCAACCGAAAAAGTGCCTAAATGATAGTTAGCAAATATTGTCAAGCTCTTGAGGTTTGCATTTGACACAATAACATCCTTATCTCTCCAGTATATACCAACCAGGGATAATTCCTCCAACGCAGGCAAAGCTTGGAAAAAACACTCATCAACAGCTAACCTAACCGAGCGAAGATAGAGAGTTTTAAGCATTGGTAAGAATATGTCCCTAGCCAACCAATCAATACCAACACTGTTTAACTTAAGCGAAACCAGATTCCTACTCTTGAAAGCTTTTGAAGACAGCATAAAGCAATCTACTCTATAGAAAATGATTAACACATCAAGTTCAGAAACACCACGAGCCATTGCCTTACTTATCCAGCTATCAACTCGGTGTGAATCAAAGTCAGTTCTATACTTAAGGGAGAATCTATTAACAGGAGAGTTACCCTGTAATGCCAATACTCTATCAACAAAATCCATGAAGCTCTGTTGAATCTCGTACCTGTCCTCCTTACCCTCTTCCGGATGGAGAAAGACAGAGTCATCAATATCAAGATTAGGGACAAACGCAAGCAGATTTCGCCATCTCTTGCAGAGAATCGAAGTTAAAGCAGCTTCCTTTGTGGTAAGGAAGGACAATATATGACAAAGAACACCGTCTGGTAGATTACTAACATTATCCATGAAGACAAATCTCAAAGCTTCTTTTTAGAACCCAATTTAGAGATCACAAACGCAAAATAGAAACTTGGAAACCCAAAAAAGGGAAATTGAGTAGACTCTTCAAGATCCACCCTTTATACAAAACCCTTAATTTAAGATACAATTTTTAATCGCTTGTTTGTTTCTATGAGCATTGTGTTTATATAGTATACAAGCATATCACAACTACCCGATATATTCTATACAATCATAAAAGATTTGGATATAGTCATATATATCTACTTTCATATCTACTCTAACACATAGTAACAAAAGATTTGAAGACACTGCAACATACCCAGCGAAAAAGTCTCAATCTTTCAGTTCCCCAAGATCTGCAAATGCTTCGAGAAGCCGAAAGATCAAAACTTGGAGGAAGACGAAGTTGACTAGTGAAGGAGTACTAGGAGTCTAGGACTAGTGACGAAGTTGACTAGTGAGGAAGACGAAACATTAACCTGTTTACTCGAAACTGTCCCGGTTTATCGAACATTAAACCGAATGAAATTGAACCGAAGACAGTTTGATTCAAGACCTTCAGGTTCCGGCTTATGGTTGCCAACATAGCATCATTGAAATTTTCTAAGCTTTAATGAGATGTCTATGAAAAGACTAGTAAAGAGTTTGATTTCCATTTGCAACTTCTAGGAAATATGCCAAGAAAGAGCTAGAGCAAATTGCTAACGAATAAGACAAGCCTCAAAATAGTGAATGGCTCAGAACATTCGAAACAGAGGAAGAAGACAACAACTGGTTTTGAAAATGTATTCAAACCAATTAACAGAAAAATCAAACAAAAGTCAATTCCTTTTGGCAAAACTATGAGCAACTTTTGTTCTTCAAAGACTTAATTGTGCGCTCCACTCCTTATACAGTTCCCCATTTACAAGGAGCTGCACATTGCAATTCTTGTTGTCGAGTTTCATCCTCTTAGCGATAACTCTTAGCTTTTTGAGCTTTGTATTAACAACATTCATATAGATCTTGATCTCCATCAAACACATAAAATACTCCAAGAAATGCTTTACCATGTCAATCTCTTTCATGGTTCCTTGAAACTCTTGGATCTCCAACACTTTTACTGGACAAGATGTGAGTGAACGACTTTTTCCCAAGTGAAAAACGCAGTTACAAACATCCCCACATTTATCTCCGACATGGTGCAAGAGACCCTGAAAACATAGAGAGACTATCAGAGATTCTATTCAAAGTATAAACTCTTATCATTGTACATGTGTTTTTATACCTCAAGGACTAGAGTTTCTAAATGTGGACAGTTCCTTATAAGAACTGGCATTGCTTGCCATGTATGATCTTTGTCACTCTTAATAGTTAACGATTTGAGGTTGTTGAACACTGGCATTGAATCACAGCAGATGGAAAGCACCTAAACATAAGACAAACCACAATTAGACAATTCACCGTTAAACGTTTTAAGACAAGACCTTCACTTCTTCGTTAAAAATGGTGACGAACAAACATGACCGTCCTGTTCTATCAATTGAAACCAAGAAGATTTTACAAAACAAAAACCAAGAAGAAAACTGACCTCAAGAGTAAGAGGAGACAATTCCAGATACTGAACATTTCGTATACCATTCATAAGCTTCCCAACATTTTCAAATCTGAGAACAACATTGTCCCCACCCTCATCTAACAAATAATTCTCTGGCGTTCTTGCTCGCTCGATTTGATCTTCAGTTACCAAAAGACTAATCCTAGCCTCAACTAAGTTATCCATGTTAACTACAGGATAGTCTTTAGCAACATAATCAGAGTAACAGAAGTAAACAAGACTAGGTGTATCAAATGAAAAAGTCCCTGAGTAATGGTTTGAACTCATTGTTAAGGTCTTGAGGTTTGCATTTGAGACAGTCACATCCGTATCGTTCCAGAACCAGAATACATCAACCATAACTAACTCCTCGAGCGCAGGCAAAGCTTTAAGAAAAAACTCATCAACATAAAACCCAACTGCCTTCATCACAAGAGTTTTAAGCATAGGTAAGAATACTCCTCCAGCCAACCAACCAACAGGGTCTGAACAGATCCTATCCGGCTGATAACCAATACAAAGACTTTCTAATCTCAGCTTAACTAGATTCCTGCACTCGAAACATTTTGTGGACAGCAAAACATATTCATCCATAGTCACATAGATTGACAGATCAAGTTCCGAAACACCGCGCCTTAACACATTACTTATCCAATCATCAACACGGTTTGAATCATGCATACTTACACACTTGAGGGATACTTTCTTAGTTGGAGAATTACCCTGCAATGCCAATACTCTATCAACAAAATCCATAAAGCTCTGAAGAATCTCGTACCTCTCTTGCTTACCCTCTTCGGGGTGGAGAAAGACAGAGTCATCAATGTCAAGATTAGGGACAAAAGCAATCAAATTGCGCCACCTCTTGGAGAGAACTGATGTCAAAGCAGCTTCCTTTGTGGTAAGGAAAGACAAAGTATGACAAAGAACCTCATCTGGTAGATTGCTTAAGGGATCCATCTGCTCTGCATCAAACAAAACAGAGTATATCACAAAAACAGTTCCACTGCAAAAACAGAGAAAGGTTTGATCTTTAGTTTCATGAAACTGATAAACAGAGAGAAACCCTAAACCACAGAAAAGGAAAAGGAGTAAACTTTGATACCGACCTTGTAAACAATGTTGCAAAAAAGCTTAATCCAAGACTCAAATTTTAGGGTTTTTTTAGAGAGACTGAGACCCAATGCAAAGCATCCAATTTTAAGAGGAGAAACGAAATTGAACCAATTTTTCCGGTTCCTTGAAATAACCGGTTTAACTAAACGACTGTGTTTTACTAGAAAAATTCTGGATTTGGTAAAATACTAAAATGGATTAGTGACTATTCCAGTGAGAGCAGAGTTGTTACTCTTAGGAAACTGAACTAGGATTCAAATTACACACTGTATGACAGTATAAGTAAGATATCACAGTGGTGAAATGAAACAAAAGCAAACCAAAATCAAATTCCAAAGGAAATTTATTTGGCAAATCTATGAGCAATTAACTTTTGTTCTTAAGAGGCTTCATTATTTATATATGGTCGTCCACTTCTTATACAAGTTACCACTCACTAGGAGCTGGACATTGCAACTTGATGACTTGTTATAGTGTTCCATCATAATCTTCCCCATAAATTTAGAAACTTCAGTGACTTTGAGTTGTGCAGGATCATTCTCTTCTATATAGATCTTCATCTCCTTCAAACATGGAAAATAGTTCAAGAAATGTTTTATCAAGTTCATCTCTTTGGTTCTTCCTTTAAACCCTTTAATCTCTAACACTTTTACGGGACAAGATTTAAGTGAACGACCCTTTTCCTCCCGAGAAACGCAGTCACAAGCATCCCCGCATTTATCAGTGACATTGTGCAAGACACCCTGAAAGCATAAAGGAGACAATCAAGGATTCAAAGTATGAACTCTATCTTTATATATACATGTTTTGGCAAATGATTTGTTTCATAACTCAAGGACTAGAGTTTCTAAATGCGGACATTTCCTTAGAAGAGCCGGCATTGCTTGCCATCCTCGACTATTGTTGCTTTTAATAGTTAATGACTTGAGATTTTTGAACACTGGCAATGATTTACAACATAAAGAAAGCTCCTGATAACAAGATACAAGCCACAGTTAAGAACAAACATGACTACTACGAAGTATAACTATAACAAATATAGCAAAGAAGAAAAAAGACTGACCTCAAGAGTATTAGGAGACAGAACTAGACACCGAATATTTCGAATGCCATTCATAAGGTTCCCAACATCTGAAAATCGAATAATAACAACGTTTCGCAATCTTTCTCGCGCAGTCTCTACTCGAGTTCCCCACATGCTGATTCGAGCCTCAACCAAGTTTTTCGTTCTAGATACAAAATGATATTTCGAGGCCATACCGGAATAACAAAAGTACACAAGACTAGGTGTATCAAATGAAATGGGAGATAGACTACGACCGCTGGACTCTATTGTTAAGGCCTTGAGGCTTGCACTTGATATAGTCACAGTCACAGTCATAGTATTATCCCAATGGTACCAGTTTATATTACATAGGACTAATTCCTCAAGCGCAGGCAAAGCATGGAGAAGAATCTCAAACTTATCAACAGATACCGAAACTGATTTCAGAACTAGAGTTTTTAGCGTCGGTAAGAAAAGGCTCTCGTCCATCAAACAAATATCAAATCCATATCTTAATTCCAGCTTAACTAGTTTCTTGTTCTGGAAAACATTTGGAAACATACGATTCAAGTTATCATCAAAGATCGATAGAACAATCTCCGAAACACCACGTACCATCAAGTTCTGTATCCAACCATTCACATGTTCTGAATCAATACATCCCATACCACCGAGGTAGAATCTTTTAATGGGAGCATTACCCTGTAATGCCAATACTCTATCCAAAAAATCCATAAAGCTTTGTCGAAAATCGCAGTGATCAACGTCAAGATTAGGGACTAACGCAATCAAATTGCGCCATCTCTTGGAGAGAACAGATGTCAAAGCAGCCTCCTTTGTGGTAAGAAAGGACAAGGTATGAGAAAGAACCTCGTCTGGTAGATTGCTTATGCGATCCATTGTCTCTGCACGAAACGTAGAGAGAGTATATTACCAAAACGTTCCATGACAAAACAGAGAAAAGTTTAAACTGGTAAAACAGAGAAAAGTTTAAACTGGTAAAGTAGGAATCTTATGAATTCGAACATAAGAATCTTAGAGCTCACAACACAAATAAGAATCTTATTGACTAAGGAACCCCCAAAAAAAAAACAGAGTAAAAACCTCTAAACCCTACCTTGTTACAAAAGCTTAATCCAAGACCTGATTTTTAGGGAGTTTCAGTGAAAAAGAGAGTTGGGATTTGCTTAATCGGTTGTTTCTTTGGCTCTACAAGTGGAGATATGAAGTAAAGACTCATGCTTTAAAGTTCAACAACGACACTACACATATGCATTAGGCGTTCGAGGAAAGCAAACACAATTGAGGGGTTTAATTATTGCATCCGGTTCTTTGAAATCACCGGTTTACCTTAACCGGAGCAGCTTGAACAGTATAAGGGCCAATTTCGGTTCAGGTTTCTTATAGAAACCAAAGAATAAGAAAACACACACTTAGATTAGAATAACTCTCTTAAAATTCTTAAACTCTTAAGCTCATGAGTTATGTCTCAACCTTGACATCTCCTTATATATAAGAACCTTAACAATAATTTACTAAATTCAAACAGGAAATATAACATAGTTTTAGATATCTCCTAAAACTATAAATGTATATTTAGTGCTAATATACTTTAGCTTGAACTCCAAGCTAGTTTAAGCTTACTCTGATCTGATTCTTCAATCCCCATTTCATCATCAATCTCTGCTTCTCAGACTGCTACATAAAAACGTTAAGGTGTCCATCTTTTTTGCCATTAATACTCCCCGCAACAAAACTTCATCTCCAAGGAATAACATTCAAGGCTTCAAAGGGCTGGAGATAAGCCAGTCCTCCTGCATTAAACCCTTTGATGCGTTTACTTTTTTTTTTTTTTTAATGAATGAATGAATGTTGAGTTTATTAAACCAAAAGACCATGTTAAGTATAAGTGTTTTAAACTTGTAAAAGAGTTTGGCTGGAAAACTTAAAGCTAGAAGTACTAGCTTCTTAGTTAGAAGCAGACCCGAAGACCATCGAGGAGATTTTGTTACGAACCAAACTTGATTAGTTGGTCTGTCGAGCTAGGAAGCAGAGATAGAACCGCCGTGAAGCTGCAGGTCTAATGGTGCTGAAGCAGATTGTGATCAGCATCCCAGACCCGAAAAGAGAAAGTGGAGGATCGAAAAGAAGAGATGGTCTTCAACTGTGTTGCTTTCAAGCAACTTGCTCAAGAAATTTAACAAGCTACGTCATCTTCATGGGATGTTTGATGAAGGAATAAGCAAATATTTCTTAGTTAAATATTTGTTTGCAACTACACAGTGTTTCTTTATGGTTCAGTCTCTTGTTTTGTCCCAACAGATTTGTCTCTTTTTTTCAATATATTTTGTCTCAACCAAAAGAAGTAAATGACTAAATCCCATTGTTAAAGACCGAAAAATTGTAGTCTCGAAGCTTCTCCTGCAATTTCATTATAAACCCATTGTCTAACATGTCACTGATGAGATTGAGAACATGTTAAAACATATGAATTCAATTATGAAAACCGAAAGAAGACGCTGTTCTGTTATTGTATCCGTTGATTTTGCGCTAGGACATTAGATTACGCACTATGCAAAGGGACAACATTAAACCTTGGACACCAGTCATGAGCCACACCCATAAATCTATAGCATATAGGATAAAAGATGTTTCTTAAAAGAGAAGTGAAGAAGATCATTATGCAGTCCACTTCTCATACAAGTTATCACTCTCTAGGAGCTGGACATTGCAACTTGATGAATTATTATACTGTTCCATCATAATCTCCCGCATAAATTCAGAAACTTCAGTGACTTTGAATTCTGCATAGATCTTCATCTCCTTCAAACATGGAAAATAGTTCAAGAAATGTTTTATCAGGTTCATCTCTTTGGTTCTTCCTTTAAACCCTTTAATCTCTAACACTTTTACGAGACAAGATGTGAGTGAACGACCCTTTTCCTCCCGAGAAACGCAATCACAAGCATCCCCGCATTTATCAGTGACATGGTGCAAGAGACCCTGCAAACATATAAAAGTATACATGGGATTCAAAAGTATAAACACTATTTTTATATATACATGTTTGGCAAATGATTTGTTTTATACCTCAAGGACTAGAGTTTCTAAATGCGGACATTTTCTTAGAAGAGCAGGCATTGCTTGCCATCCTCGACTAACGTCGCTTTTAATAGTTAATGAGTTGAGGTTTATGAACATTGGCAATGATTCACAGCATATAGAAAGCACCTGATGACAAGACAAGCCATAGTTAGAACAAACATGACGACCATATTCCCCATGAATTTAAGACTGGTCTTGTTTTTTCTCTGAAATTAAAATATCACAATGTAGAAAAGAAGAAGAAAACTGACCTCAAGAGTATTAGGAGATAGAACTAGACACGGAACATTTCGGATGCCATTCATAAGGTTCCAAACATTCGAAAATCGGATAATATCATTATTATTGTCCTCATCATCTTCTAACAAAATGTTGTGTGGCGATCTTGCTCGCGCAATATCTTCTAAATTTACGCAAAGGCTGATTCGAGCCTCAAACAAGTTTTCCATTTTAGCTACGGAATAGTTTTTTGCGACAAGATCGGAGTAACAGAAGTACACAAGACTAGGTGTATCAAATGACAAAGCAGCTACACAATAACCGCATGTATCTATTGTTAAGGTCTTGAGGCTTGCATTTGACACAGTGACAGTAACACCCCAATATATCCAGTTTATACAACTTAGGACTAATTCCTCGAGCGCAGGCAAATCATGGAGAAGAATCTCAAACTTATCAACAGTAACCGAAACTGATCTCAGAACGAGAGTTTTTAGCGTCGGTAAGAAACTGCTGCCGCACATCAAACTAATATCAAATCCATAACTTAATTCTAGCTTAACTAGTTTCTTGTTCTGGAAAACTTTTGGTAACATACGTCTGAAGTTAGCTACTGATTCTGTATCATCAAAGATTGATAGAACAATCTCCGAAACACCACGCAACATAACGTTCTGTATCCAAGAATCCACACGGTCTAAATCAATACAGCCAGTGCCACCGAGACCGAGGTAGAATCTCTTAATGGGAGAATTACCCTGCAATGCCAATACTCTATCCACAAAATCCATGAAGCTCTTTCGAAAATCATAGTGAACAATGTCAAGATTAGGGACTAACGCAATCAAACCGCGCCATCTCTTGGACAGAACTGATGTCAAAGCAACCTCTTTTGTGGTAAGGAAGGATAATATATGACAAAGAATCTCTTCTGGTAGATCGCTTATTAGATCCATGTTCTCTGCATGTATGTACAAAACGAAGTGAGTATATATATTACCAAACAGTTCCACTAGGTTTGATCTTTATCAATTCATGTAAAATCCAAGCAAGTCCAAAGAAAACACGTTATATCAAGGGAAATAGGAATTCCCAAGAAAAGTTAAATTAAATGAGTAAGCCTCGAAACCCTACCTTGTTACAAAAGCTTAATCCAAGACCTAATTTTTAGGGTGTTTAAGTGAAAAAGAGAGTTGGGATTTGCCTAATCTGGCTCTACAAGAGGAGATACTGTATGAAGAAGAAAAGACTCAAGCTTTTAGGTTTCGACAAGACAGCAAGCAAACAAAATTGAGGGTTTTAATTTCATCTGGTTCTTTAAAATCACCAGTTTTAAAATTGAAGGTTTTTATTGCTTAAACAGATTAGGCCCAAAATTACAAGTCCAAAATTATAAGCCCAGATTGTTACTGATATTTATAATTTAAATTTTGCAAAATCAAAAATTAACTGTTTTGAATCTCTTGAATAACCCTGGCTTGACCATTTTATCATGTAAAAAAAGCCATCTGCAGCTATGTTCAAACCCATATGTGGTTTTTAGCTTATGCTTCTCATACTGTTTCGCTGCTTAGCTTAGCCCATTTCTCATTTTTAATCATCTTTGTGTTGTAAGTAAATACAGAACGGGTAGGTATAAACCATACACTACATAAGACCAACATTATTGGGGGTATATTAGCCCCAAAGATACCTCCAATAATGTTGCCCTAAGTTACATGTAAGGACTTCATATCCTTTAACATAGTACTTCTGCACTTTTGCTGAGCTATAAACCACATAGCCCTCTAAAGAATTGGTTACTTTCTAGATTATACTAAAGTCTTGAATGCTTACACCTTACGAAGATGCACATTCTTTGTCTTAATTCGGTTCTTGATTTTTCGGTTCGGTTCAATTTGGAATTGAACCGAATTTCAATTTTTTCGGTTTGTTCGGTTTACCAAATAAAGTTAAACGAAGAATTTAAAAACTTTACATGCTAATTAACAACAACAAACTATACAATTAAAACGTTACTTTTTTCTAATCACAAGACAACAAAACACAACCATGCATCATGCTCACATCAAACTCTCTCACTTGCCACTTCTTTGTCCTAAAAGAAACTGAGCTTCCATGCTTTTTTCCTTGATTATTAAAAACAAAAATTATAAGTAAAAAAAAAAACATACAATGTCCATAGATTGATAAATCTCTCTAAGTGGATTTGTCTTATAATTCTCTGCCTCATTTTCAGACCAGCTAATATTAAAGCTTTTTGTTCTCTTTTATCTTTTTTATCCAAGTGTCAATTTTTTTTTATCGAAATACATAATACGTTAACTAAAAAAAAGATTTTATATAATCCAAAATGTTTTTGAAAAAAAAACAAATGAGGTTTAGATACTATCAACGGTTCTCTCCTTTATTATCTCCATAATTATGTAACAAATCCGTTTCATGGGTTTCTCCTCCCTCTTCTTCTCTTCTCTTCATTTTTGTGTTTATTCAGCTGCAAAACACTAAAAACAAAATTTAATTACATTTTTGTGTTCATCAGATTTTTTTTCTTAATTACTTTTGGTTTAATCTTTATTATATTGAGAATTCTAATTTCACTTTTCCTTTGTTATTTTGATCGAAGCATCATCTTAATAAATTTTTATCTTAGAAAATAAACAATAATCATGTGAGTTCTGGTTGATAGTTTTGGTATCAAGTGTTTCTTTTGGTTCTTTAGTGAGCAAAAAAAAAAAATAGAGAAAATCAAGAGTTGTGAGCAAATGAAGTCATTAGAAAGATTGGTTTCAGAGAAAGCATTAAAGCTTGGAAACTCATTTCCATGTCAAATTTGTTTAGTTGGGTTTCTATGTGGAATCTGTCTCACTTCACTTTTCTTAGCTGCTCTTACTTCTCTTGGCACCTTTGAACTCGCCACCTTCTCCTCTGCTTTTCCTCCTTGCAACTCCTCTGCATCTCACATCATCAGTAAGTTTTATACAAAAGATTTGATCTTTTTTTTTGGTAATTTGTTGTGTTTTTGTTTCCATGTAATGATAATTTTTACTTATATGTTAGATATGGTTGCAAGTATAGACCGAACATTGAAATGGAAGAACAAAGCTGAGACCAAAGATGATGATGATGATGTGAAGCTTTTGGTCTCTGCTTGGGATAATTTATTACTAAATGAAGAAGACTTCTTGAAGAAGTTAGGGATTAGTAAATCTGATGTGCCAAACGCTCCACATATGGAGAATTGTGAGGAGAAGGCGCGAGTTAGGCAGCGATTAGATACAGATATAGCGAATCAGACATTCCCTTCTTGGGTATGCTTCTTCTTCTTGTTTATTTGTTAAGTTGTCGTCAAGGAGAATGAACAATCATAAGTTTGATTTTAGATCAATGGAGGAGATGAAGAGAACTATCCATTGACGAGGATAGTGCAAAGAGATATATGGATTCATCAGCATCCTTTGGATTGTGGAAACAAGAGTGTTAAGTTTCTTGTAGCTGATTGGGAAACACTTGCTGGTTTCGGAATTGGAGCTCAAATTGCTGGGATGACTGGTCTTCTCGCAATCGCTATAAACGAAAACCGAGTGCTCGTTGCAAAGTATTATAATCGAGCAGATCACAATGGTTGCAAAGGTACACAATCGAGCAGAACATGTAACAACATCACCAGCTACATCTTCTTGGTTAATCTTGTTTTGGTGTTACTCTTTGTTTGGATGCAGGTTCTTCCCGTGGAAGCTGGTCTTGCTATTTTCTACCGGAAACATCAGAAGAGTGTAGGAAACGAGCGTTTGCGATTGCAAAGAATAGAGAAGCGTGGGAGAGTGGGATTGTCACAGGGAAACAAAACTACAGCACAAAGGAGATTTGGGCAGGGCCTATACCAAAGCTATGGGGTAAGGCTTGGAGTTATATGAAACCCACTACAGAAATCAATGGAAGTTTAGTTTCCAGTCACCGGAAAATGGATAGGAGATGGTGGAGAGCACAAGCAGTGAGATACTTGATGAGATTTCAAACAGAGTATACTTGTGGTTTGATGAACGCTGCTCGACACTCTGCGTTTGGAAAAGAAGCTGCCAAGAACGTTCTCTCTGGAGGAGATTGGAGAAAGAAGAAGAAGAAGACAAGGACAGAGATTGAGCAACAGGTGTGGTCGGATCAGAAGCCGTGGATTCCAAGGCCAATGCTGAGTGTTCACGTGCGGATGGGAGACAAAGCGTGCGAGATGAGAGTTGCAGCTTTAGAAGAATATATGCGTTTAGCTGATCGGATCAGAGAACGGTTTCCAGAGCTCAACATGATCTGGCTCTCTACAGAGATGAAGGAAGTTGTGGACAGAAGTAAAGATTATACTCATTGGAGGTTTTATTACACAGAAGTGGCAAGACAAGTCGGTAATAAATCAATGGCTGAGTATGAAGCGAGCCTTGGTAGAGAGATGAGCACGAACTATCCTCTGGTTAACTTCTTAATGGCGTCAGACGCTGATTTCTTCGTCGGGGCATTGGGTTCCACTTGGTGTTTCCTCGTCGACGGTATGAGGAATACTGGTGGAAAGGTCATGTCTGGTTATCTCAGTGTTAATAAAGACAGGTTCTGGTAACCTTACAGTTCCGCTATATACAGAACATGACTCCTCTCATTATTTCTTATCTTTTGTACAAAGAGTTCTCAGTATAACAAAGGAAGGCTTAGGAGATTGATTCAAAAAGTGAAAATGTAAAGATAACCTTAACAGAGCATAATGGTTGTTCCGTGTAGAAAACGTTTTCCTTAAAAGAGTGCCACAAATAATAAGACATTACTACAATCTCACTAGCAATAACACAACCACTGCTAGACGAAAATTATTAATAAATATAACTCTGTTATAATCAGCTAACAAATGAAGAGAAGTTAAAGAAAAAGAAAGCTAAGTATGGTATTCAATAGAGGATACTACCAGCTTTTTGCTTGTTTTTCACTTCCCATTTCTCAAGAAAGCTCCACAAGATTCTTCTCAGGGAGTTGATACTTATCTTCTCCATTGACTTATCTCTATGACCTCAGAAGGGAGCCTCCAATGACGACTCATCCCAAACCTCAGCACTTCCATTGGATGCATCTTCAACGTCTTCTTCCATTGAAAGCCTTATATATTCTCTATGTGCGAAACGGTCCCACTCAGTCAACGTAGGGTTCTCACGCTCCTGTTTCAGTTCGATATGTTAAAATGTTATAAGAGGCCTTTGCTGTCAGGAAAACAGTAAGGTTGAATTTCGCATGTGAAGTACCTGACGAATGAGGAACGGATCCCGTGTTTCAAATGCCATAAATTTGTTGAGATTAAAAAGGATGTTGAAGACGTTTCCAGAGAGCTTTGAGCTCTTCAGGTCATGCAGCGTTATATGACTTTCGTTCTGTGGAAAGAAACACGAAACAATCAAACACAAAACAAAATTGCAGGGGTTACAAACATAAACTGGGAACACTAACTACTTCTGTGATCGCCCTATATCTTCTTTAATTGTAGAATAGGTTGAGCATATAATAACCACAAGAAAACATGAGTTATAATGTTTAACCTCTGGTCCGATCATATCAATCATCTGACATAAGATATCCTCAAAAAGAACAGCCTCTTGCGCCATGCACTCCATTCGATGCAACTGCTCTTCATAAAAGAATTGCATCTCATTTCGCGTAATAATCTCATTTGCATCCAAGTCTATGCACTTAAACCTAGTCCAATATATACTTTTGTCAGATAAAAACACTCAAGACGCTATCTGTCTGCAACTTTGGATCCTTATAACACAGCTTACCAAAATTCTAGGCTAGGCTCTGATGATTTATCTTCTTCTGCAAGTATGAAATACACAAAGTCCTCATACCCCATCTTCCCTTCAACTTTGCTAGTGAACTTCCTAGCAACCTGAAAAACAATGCATTACTTTTATGATGACAGTCATCTTATGAGCAATAAAACCTTTGAACGAGGACACAATTCTTAAATGGAAGTAATATAAATATAATCGTAAGTAGTAGGCATTAAAAATCATTCTATCTTAGGCAGAACCTGGGAGAATATTCTGTCGACAATCCGATAAGTAAGTGCATGGTTTCCATATCTCATAAGATTTTCTTTGTCAATCAAGAAATCGTGATCTGTATCCAGCTCCCAGAACTTGCAGTATATGACATAGAAATGCTCATACGAGAAGTATCTAGTTGCCAAAGTAAATAGAAAGGTGTTGATGTCAAATAAATAGAATAAAACCTTATATACAACAATAGGATGAACTCTGTTTGTTAGTACCTCAACACTTTGTTGATATCTTCTTCTTCATCAGCATGTCGCATTGCATCAATTAAGTTTCCCCGTCTAAGCTCCCTAAATGTAAGGCGACCATTTCCAGATCTATTTATGTAGTAAAATATTCTGTAGGTGACAGTTTCAGCTGGCCCATCAAAATAAAAATTGTATTAGACAAAATTACATCCTTAAATAGACAACTCCCCTATCTACAACAATAGCAGCAAATACCAAAGATTGTGGACTTCAGACATAGCAAACAAGAAATGTCAGAAAGCTATGTCAGAAAGCTACTTAATTATCTAACTGACACATGTTTACTTAATCATCTAACTGACACATGTTTCATAAAGCTATGTCAGAAAGGGAAAAAAAATCCTTTATAAGATTGATAAAAGTTTCTCTTATATAACAAATGTGATTCTTTGGATAACCCCTGAATGAGGAATAGACCTACTGGAGAGAACAAAAATTACCATTTACTAAACTGATTCATGTTTTTTTTGCAAGTATCATGTAACTGCAAATTATAAGAAGATGTCTAACACAGCAAATTAGCTTATGAAATAGTTTAAATCCAAACAAATAAATGCCACGTAATCATTTCAATGCCTCGATTATTAAAATTATCATAGTTATGCAGTAATACAGTCAATGTCGTAACAATCAGACTTATTCACCCATTCTTCTCAATTATGGTGGTAGCTAACCTGACCCTCGCTCAGTTACTAAATATTATTACTCGAGCAATATCAGGAGACTCAAGAGGGAAAAGAAAACATGAGAGAAAATAGGATACTGACTAAACTCTATATGAAGGTAAGACCTCACCATATCTTTCTTGGAATTCAGGTGTGGTTTGCAGGAACTCTAGCCCAGGATGTGTCGCCAACAGTTCTTTAAGTAGTGGTTTGAAATCATCCTGCCAGGAAAAAATGTTGTGAATTAAAATTGCGAACATAAGAGCAAGTTGAATATGAAAATAACTCGCTCTTATGCCTGAATATGAAAACTAAAAGAAAATTTTACCTTGACAATAAAATTCTGATCTTTCTGCTTTAATATCTTGAAGATTTGGGTCGTTGTATCCATTATCAACATGTTCCCGTTTACCCAATAATCTATAAATGCTTCTCTGCATAATTAAACATTCAAAAATGTTATACTGGGTTTTCCAGTACAGTGATCGCCAAACACGTGATGAGTAACTATAAAATGATCAGGAAGCGTGAAGTACGTTAAAAACTATGCACACATGAGATTCCACCAAACAAAAAGCATAGCATCACACACCTAGTAACGAAACCTGAATTATTGACATCGATCTTCCTGAAAAGTGAAGTGGAGAAGAAAGATGGAAGCTTGCAGATTTCTCTGGTGACTAATTTGAATTCTGAGAATTGAAAAAGGGTAAACGGTAATGAGAATTTCCATATAAATGTCACTAAAAATATTAGAAAGCTTATGAATTCTTACCTTGTATCTGTAGTCCATCCATGTGACCATAGAAAAAGTGATTAATTCTAAACATGCATTGCTCTTTTATCTCGCTTGGTGGTGGGCGGCCATTTTGGAAATAGAACTACAGTCATTTCAAGTTTAATGTAAGTATTTTTACTCCATTAGTATAAAAGGAGGAAAAACGAATGCACTGTTCAAACCTGAGGCATTGGCTCTTTAACAGGCTCGCTGGCTACTTTCAGCGTAGAACCTAAGTTAGAAGGGCCTCTTTGTTTCGTTGTACGTGGTGAACCACAACTCCTTGGCGAAAGAGGAGGCGCACTTCCCGCAGGAAACATAGATGGTATAGAATTACTGGTGGCAGAATTTGAACCAGATGAACTTCCAGTTACATTTATAGGAGCTCCAGCTATAGCATCCTTGAGCAATGCTTCAACCTAGAAAAAAAAAAAAATAATAATAACCAATTAGGCAACGAAAAAAAAATAAAGCTTTTAGCCTTCAGATTCCAGTGAATAGAGTAATTTAGCAACCAAATCTCAGTAACGATAAGCATCATTGTAATACCCACACAATCAAATTGCATAACCAAAACTAAAAAACAATCAGACTTTACACCAATCTTCAACACCAGAGGAATTTAGCAACCTAAGCATCACTATAAATGTAATACTTAGATAACAAGAATGAAGATAAAACTCACACTTATCAAAGATTTGATTTTTACAACATTTCTCCAGCACCACAGAGTAATTTGGCAAACCTAAGCATTCTAATACTCACACTATCAAAGATTCGAACTTTACAACATTCTTCAACACCACAGAGTAATTGGCAACCTAAGCAACATTGTAACTCTCACATAACAAAATGTGAAGCTAACTCATAACTCAGACTATCAAAGATTCGAACTTTACAACATTCTTCAACACCACAGCTTAATTTGGCAACCTAATCATCATGGCAATTCTCACATAACAAAATATGAAATAACTCACAACTCAGACTATAAAAGACTCGAACTTGACACCAATCTTCAACACCACAGAGTAACTTGAAAACCTAAGCAACATTGTAACTCTCACCACTTAACTAACACTATCAAAAGATTTGAACTTTACACAAATCTTCAACACCACAGAGTAACTTGACAACCTAAGCAACATTGTAACTCTCACCACTTAACTAACACTCTCAAAAGATTCGAACTTTACACAAATCTTAAACAATTCTAAAGCCAATAAAGCAGAAACAGAGCTGAGAGATACCTGTCGATGAGCTTCAGGAAGAGAAAGCCACTGGTCAAAGAGCTTCTGAGTGAATCCAGGTTTTGAACTCAGTACAAACGAAGACATCTCTTGAAGCTGCAATAAATCTACATCCAAACAAGCCATGTCTCCTGGAACAATCGCTTCCACCATACTCATCTTTTCTTCCCGTGATCCAATCGCATCAACAACACTAAAACCACTAAAACCAGATTAAAAATAGAATCAACGGATCAAAAATGGGAGGGTTCAAAACTTCATAGTGAATCATAGTGTGTAGAAAGCAGATCTGAAGCATAAAAATCAAAACTTTGAAGAACGAAAAGGAGAGATCTTTTAAATTACTTACCGAATAAAACCTAAAAAACTCAGATCGACGATGAAGATGAAGATAAAGATGAAGAGAACAATTAGGATATGAAAAGAGAGAAAGAGAACCGTACGATTTAAGGATTTTTTGTTGTGAGTTTTGATTATGATGAATCGAATTCCTCTCTCTCTCTCTTCTCTTCTCACTCTCTCTCTAACTTTGTTTTTTCCTTTTTTTCGGTGAGACGAATTATTATTTTTTTCTCTGAAGTACAAGAAGACAGCCAAAATGGGCTTACATCAAAGCCCAAACGAAAACAAAAGGCCCAAAATTTCTCAAGAAATTTAACAAGCTATGTCATCTTCATGGGATGTTTGATGAAGGAAGAAGCAGATATTACATACCTTGGTGAGTTAGGAATTCTAGATAATTACCGTTTGTAACTACATAGTGTTTCTTTATGGTTCAGTCTCATGTTTTGTCTTAACAGATTTTGTCTCATGTTTCAATATATTGTCTCAACTAAAACAAAGTAAATCCCATTATTAAAGACCAAATAATCATGTAGTACTCTCCAAGCTATCCATCCACTAGAGGACATGTGACAAGCTTATCCTGCGATTATGTTCTAAAATCCATTGTCTAACATATCACTAATGAGATTGAGAACATGTTAAAACATATGAATTCAAAGACACGCACATTAGCCTACGCACTATGCAAAGAGGCAACATTAAACATTGGTTTCTGCCTTGAAACAACCAGTCATGAGCCACCCATAAATCTATAGCATATAGGATAAAAGATGTTTTTTAAAGAGAAGTAAAGAAGATCATTATGCAGTCCACTTCTCATACAAGTTACCACTCACTAGGAGCTGGACATTGCAACTCGATGACTTGTTATAGTATTCCATCATAATCTCCCCCATAAATTCAGAAACTTCAGTGACTTTGAGTTGTGCAGGATCATTCTCTTCCATATAGATCTTCATCTCCTTCAAACATGGAAAATAGTCTAAGAAATGTCTTATCAGGTGCATCTCTTTCATTCTTCCTTTAAACCTTTTAATCTCTAACACTTTTACGGGACAAGATGTGAGTGAACGACCCTTTTCCTCCCGAGAAACGCAGTCACAAGCATCCCCGCATTTATCTGTCACATAGTGCAAGAGACCCTGAAAGCATAAAGGTGAATATAAGGAATTCAAAGTAAAGTATGAACTCTATCTTTATATATACATGTTTGGCAAATGATTTGTTTTCATACCTCAAGGACTAGAGTTTCTAAATGCGGACATTTCCTTAGAAGAGCTGGCATTGCTTGCCATCCTCGACTATCGTCGCTTTTAATAGTTAATGAGTTGAGGTTTATGAACATTGGCAATGATTCACAGCATATAGAAAGCACCTGATAACATGATACAAGCCATAGTTAGAACAAACATGACTACCATGCTCCATGAATTTAAGACTAATCTTCTTTTATTTCTGAAATAAAATATCACAACATAGAAAAGAAACTGACCTCAAGAGTATCATGAGACAGAACTAGACACCGAACATTTCGAATGCCACTCATAAGGTTCCCAACATTTGAAAATCGGATAGTAACATTATCGTCCTCATCATCCTCTAACATAATATTGTGTGGCGGTCTTGCTCGCGCAATATCTTCTCCACTTACCAAAAGGCTAATTCGAGCCTCAAACAAGTTTTCCATTTTAGCTACGAAATAGTCTTCCGCGACAAGATTGGAATAATAGAAGTACACAAGACTAGGTGTATCAAATGAAAAAGCAGCTATACTACTGTACTTTATTGTTAAGGCCTTGAGGCTTGCACTTGATACAGTCAGAGTAAAACCCCAATCTTTCGAGTATATACTATCTAGGACTAATTCCTCAAGCGCAGGCAAAGCATGGAGAAGAATCTCAAACTTATCAACAGATACCAAAACAAATTCAAGAACGAGAGTTTTTAGCGTCGGTAAGAAAATGCTGCCGCACATCAAACTAATATCTAATACAAAACTTAATACTAGCTTAACTAGTTTCTTGTTTTGGAAAACTTTTGGAAACATACGTCTAGAGTTAGCTACTGATTCCGCATTATCATAGATAGAAAGAACAATCTCTGAAACACCACGCAACATCACGTTCTGTATCCAACAATCCACACGATCAAAATCAACAACGCCCATACCATTGAGGTAGAATCTCTTAATGGGAGAATTACCCTGCAATGCCAATACTCTATCCACAAAATCCATGAAGCTCTGTTGGAAATCACAGTGATCAATGACAAGATTAGGGACTAACGCAATCAAACCGCGCCATCTCTTTGACAGAACTGATGTCAAAGCAGCCTCCTTTGTGGTAAGGAAAGACAATATATGACAAAGAATCTCTTCTGGTAGATCACTTATGAGATCCATCTTCTTGGCACGTACGTACAGAAGGAAGTGAGTATATATTACCAAACAGCTCCACTAGGTTTGATCTTTAAAAGCCAAGCAAGTCAAAAGGAACACGTTATATATAATTAAAAAAAAAACCTAATTGGTAAACCTCGAACCCTACCTTGTTACAAAAGCTTAATCCAAGACCTAATTCTTAGGGAGTTGGTGATTTGCCTAATCGCTTGTTTCTTTGGCTCTACAAGCGGAGATATAAAGAAAGACTCAAGCTTTTAGGTTTCGACAAGACATTAAAAGGCATCGAAGAGGAGACAACAAGCAAACAAAATTGAGGGTTTTATTTCATCTGGTTCTTTAAAATCACCAGTTTAATTTCAGTAAACCGAAACAGCTTGAGCTTGGGCTACGAATGTATTTGCTTAAACAGATATAAATAATTTACAAATTTTGCAACATAAAAAATTTAGAAACTCATTAGGAATTTTTATATTTTACCTACTCCAATGGTTAACTAGAATATCATTAGAGGTTCTTAAAACTATATTTTTTCAAATTTGTCTTTTTAAGTGTTTTGGTTCTTAAACTTATGGTAAGTGTTTAGGTTCTTAAACTTTTGGTGATGTGTTTTGGTTCTTAAACTTGTGGTTATGTGTTTTGGTTCTTAAACTTGTGTTACAACACATATATAGCAAAAGTATGAACATAAAAGAACATTAATTGAGTGTATGAACATAAAAACTTGGTTACAATTCACAACAAAACTTTGGTTAAATTTGCAGTGTATGAACATAAAAGAACATTTGAGTGTATGAACAAAAAAAGAGATTAAGGTTTTAAGAAGAGTACCAGTAACTACGGGTGATCCAACGAACAAAGGTGAGAGCCTCAAGGGACAAGGGGTAATAGCTAAAGCTACTCTCTGAACCGAACCAACAACATTCGTCACATACTGTCTCACCATGGTAGCAACATAGGCTATGTTTAAGACCAATCTGGAGTTTGTTTCTAATATAGAGATGATTGATGCTGTCTCAGGAAAAAGATGTGTCAATTAACTGACTAACTGTTCTTTGCTTTTTTCTATGTTTGATTCAATTTTACAATTTTTTTTGTTCTATGAGCAAATTATCTTCCTGAACAGTGTGCGCTAGTTCTCTTCTTAAAGATCAAAAGTTTGGCGAAATATGTGACATAGAACCTCTTCTGGTAGATTGCTTATGAGATCCATATGTTCTGCACGAAAAAAGTTCAAAGCTTTTATGAGAAATCAGAGAAAAGGTTTGATTTTTAAATTCATGTAGTGTAAATTTGGATTTTTGACAGAAGGTTACTTCTAAACTAAGAAACCCCAAGAACGAGAATCTAGTTAAGTTCAACACGTACCTTCTTTAATGGCGTTAGAAGCGAAGATAGGAAGAAAAGACTCAAGCTTTCAGTTTCAGGTGGGAGGAGAAGACATTGGAAAAGCCGAAACATCAAAGAAGACATCGAAACTGAAGTTAGGGTTCTACTTGATCCGGTTCTTCTAAACCAAATTACTACACGTGGCACACTGACACTATAAAGCAGTCTGTTTTGGTTTTTAATCGGTTTGGTTTCACAGTAAACTTCTTCGTTAATCAATGAAGCCAATTTATGAACACACACAAGGACTTGAGAGTTGTGTGTGTGTGAGTATGATTTGGTTCTAGCTCCATAGCCTAACATTTCAGTATTTCACTAATTCTTCTTCGAATAACCCTAAAATTACTACATATATTAAAATAATAATCATCATTGTTTTTATCTTTGTTTACGTTAGACCAAGAAACTTGTATGTGTTTTCAAAAGAAAAAAAATATATGAAGGCATAAAAGATTGAGAACGAGTAAAACCAAATAGATTTACATCGTCGAAGACAACAAAATACATTCAAGAGTACATCATCGCCGTTAGTGTGGGGAGAGAGATTGGTTGGTAAGCTATATGGGAAGAATTGGAGAAGTATCAAAGTCACTACCGTTTGATGGATCTTCTGATTTCAACGAAGAGTCTTTCTTACTACGTTCAAGAGATGTCGCCTCGAATATTCCGAATCCTAATACTAAGCAGCAGACGATGAAACCGGGAAGAGAAAAATCCATCTCGTAAGCTAACTCCATCACTATTATGCATACACCTGCTACCATCACTTCGGAGTATATATTACCAAACAGTTCCACTAGGTTTGATCTTTCAATTCATGTAAAATCCAAGCAAGTCCGAAGAAACACGTTATATATAAAAAATAAAAAAACCTAATTTTGGTAAACCTCGAACCCTACCTTGTTACAAAAGCTTAATCCAAGACCTAATTTTTAGGGAGTTGGATTTGCCTAATCGCTTGTTTCTTTGGCTCTACAAGCAGAGATATGAAGAAGTGGAATAATTAAGCTTTTAGGTTTTCGACAAGAAATTAAAAAACAAGCAAACAAAATTGAGGGTTTTATTTCATCTGGTTCTTTAAAATCACCAGTTTAATTTCAGTAAACCGAAACAGCTTGAGCTTGGGCTACGAATGTATTTGCTTAAACAGATATAAATAATTTACAAATTTTGCAACATAAATAATTTAGAAACTCATTAGGAGTTTTTATATTTTACCTACTCCAATGGTTAACTAGAATATCATTAAAGGTTCTTTTAAAACTATATTTTTTCAAATTTGTCTTTTTAAGTGTTTTGGTTCTTAAACTTATGGTAAGTGTTTAGGTTCTTAAACTTTTGGTGATGTGTTTTGGTTCTTAAACTTGTGGTTATGTGTTTTGGTTCTTAAACTTGTGGTTACAACACATATATAGCAAAGGTATGAACATAAAAGAACATTAATTGAGTGTATGAACAAAAAAACTTGGTTACAATTCACAACAAAACTTTGGTTAAATTTGCAGTGTATGAACATAAAAGAACATTTGAGTGTATGAACAAAAAAAGAGATTAAGGTTTTAAGAAGAGTACCAGTAACTACGGGTGATCCAACGAACAAAGGTGAGAGCCTCAAGGGACAAGGGGTAATAGCTAAAGCTACTCTCTGAACCGAACCAACAACATTCGTCACATACTGTCTCACCATGGTAGCAACATAGGCTATGTTTAAGACCAATCTGGAGTTTGTTTCTAATATAGAGATGATTGATGCTGTCTCAGGAAAAAGATGTGTCAATTAACTGACTAACTGTTCTTTGCTTTTTTCTATGTTTGATTCAATTTTACAATTTTTTTTGTTCTATGAGCAAATTATCTTCCTGAACAGTGTGCGCTAGTTCTCTTCTTAAAGATCAAAAGTTTGGCGAAATATGTGACATAGAACCTCTTCTGGTAGATTGCTTATGAGATCCATATGTTCTGCACGAAAAAAGTTCAAAGCTTTTATGAGAAATCAGAGAAAAGGTTTGATTTTTAAATTCATGTAGTGTAAATTTGGATTTTTGACAGAAGGTTACTTCTAAACTAAGAACCCCCAAGAACGAGAATCTAGTTAAGTTCAACACGTACCTTCTTTAATGGCCCTAAAAGCGAAGATAGGAAGAAGAAAAGACTCAAGCTTTCAGTTTCAGGTCTTCTGAACTAAGAAACCCCAAGAAAGAGAATCGAGTAAAAGGATATACAAAGTCTGGTTTGGTTTTTAACCGGTTTGGTTTCACAATAAACTTCTTCGTTAATCGATGAAGCCAATTTATGAACACACACAAGGACTTGAGAGTTGTGTGTGACTAGCTTCTTCAGTGATTTGGTTCGAGCTCCATAGCCTAACATTTCACTAATTCAGTAGCATCCATTCTTCTTCGAATAACCGTAAAATTACTACATATATTAAAATCATAATCATCATTTGTTATCTTTGTTTACGTTAGACCAAAAAACTTGTATGTGTTTTCAAAAGAAAAAAAATATATGAAGGCATAAAAGATTGAGAACGAGTAAAACCAAATAGATTTACATCGTCGAAGACAACAAAATACATTCAAGAGTACATCATCGCCGTTAGTGTGGGGAGAGAGATTGGTTGGTAAGCTATATGGGAAGAATTGGAGAAGTATCAAAGTCATTACCAAGGATTCCGTTTGATGGATCTTCTGATTTCAACGAAGAGTCTTTCTTACTACGTTCAAGAGATGTCGCCTCGAATATTCCGAATCCTAATACTAAGCAGCAGACGATGAAACCGGGAAGAGAAAAATCCATCTCGTAAGCTAACTCCATCACTATTATGCATACACCTGCTACCATTAGATGCCTTGGCGACGAAAACACCATATGTAGTCTGCAACAAGCAAAACATGTTTAAGTAACGCGTATGTTTGGGCGTATAAATGCATTGTGGAGATGATTATAGGGTAAAAGGTTTAGGAAACCTCTCTTCTGCGATATTGTCAACATAAAAGATTAGAATGATCCCAAAACCAATGGTGCTAAGGAAAGCCCACGCAGAAAATGGCAACTCAGATGTTTTCCCAGAAGATGAGCCCTGAAGTAAAGTTTGATATTAGTGAACCAAACCGGCAATGGGAAACCGAGAAAATCCCATCTTTTATACATTTTTCCTTCTCATTGCAAAACAGTAACATCACTTACCATGATAAAGTCCCACATGGCCACAGGAAACAAGAAACAGGTTGCAGAAGTAATGGTTATCGCATGCAGTCGTTTCTTCTGCTGGTTCTGTAAAAGCAGAAAATTGGTTTTTCGCAAAAGATGTAGAAGTGAAAGAAGAAAAGGACTCCATATAAAGGGAATCTGAGATCAGTACCTTTAAAGAAACACGGCGCGCAATAACCCGCCTTAACGCTGATAAGATTCCAGCAAAAACTGGTATCATCATTCCCAGCATACCTAGTGCTAGTTCAGTTTGTACTTCTTCCTCTTTGATCTCAGTACTCTCTTTTGTTGGTAGCTTGTTGTTAAGTTAAACAAACACATACACTATCCATATATAGTTAAAAACGAAGCAAGATATAGATAGAGTTAGAGATAGAGAGAAGGAACTTGCGTAAAAGGATATAAAAAGGGGACAGAGATGATGTTGCCCATCCTTGAGACAAGCAAAAAAGAGCTACCAGCATTGCAATAAGGCCACCTACCTGACATGATTTGCAAATATCAGAGAAATTTTGTCCTATTCTTCAGATAATTATCCTTGTTGATTTGTAAACATAAATCTGATTTTCAAATTTAATTCCATATCAACAATTATAATGCAAGCAATATAAGTACATGGATTAGCCAGAAGAAACATCACTAAATGCTGAAAACTATTGCACAACTCTATAGTTTATATATGAGAGAAGTGAGTTGATGCATTCCGAGGGTATAGATAACACTATGGATAAACCCTATGTAAACAGTGCTAGTTTACTTCGTCACATTGACTAGAGAGATGTTATATAAGTGAAAAATCTTAAATTAGAAACAAATGAGATGACTACCTTTTTCCACACATGTCCTCTTCGTCCATATAATACTCCAGAAAGTACTCCAAGAACAGCACCAGAGTACTCTGACAAGATAGCTCTGCAAATAAAATACAAAGTATATAAGCAAGGATAATCAAATATTTAATGAAGATAACATTTTGGATCATATGACAGAAAATGTAGCTTAAAATGACAGGTTGCAGAAAGAGAGGATTGTAAATCTAGGATTTCGGTAAGTATTTAACCAATCTACTCAACGTGACCAAATAGCTCAGAGGTAACTGTCAAGTTCCCTACCTTTCAAAAGCCATAGTTTACGGTAACTCCTAAGACAGATAAGACCAGAGGATATTTTATGGTAGTCCGAATGCTTAATAAGTAATCAATACCTAAGCGGTCCACAAGACTTGAGACCTTTTCCCCATAAGATGAAGTACAGAGCCGTGATGACTCCATTGATAAGAGAAGGTACAATCTGAAAAAAGTAAAGTAAATAATATATGTCCAGACTCTCCTAATGTACATGCAAGAAATCGGAAATTACTAAAGTAAACCTGTTGATTAGAAAGTGCCCTTCCTTTCCATGGTTTTTGAAGTATCAAGAAGATGATTGATGAAGGCACCAGACAGCAGAAGAGAAAGAGAACAACTGGCGCTCCTGTCTGATTTAAGTAGCGGTACATAGAATAAACTGACCATATCCTAAAAAAGTTCCCAATGAGGTGGACTATCTGGAATGGTGTATGTCTGCAGATAAAGAGGGTCAACAGATACACTAATTAGGTAGCAGAATACTCAATTCTAAGCCAATGGCTAAACAAGGGTAGACGAAAAAACTACAAATGTGCTCAAAGTTATGGACTCAATTCACTGCTTCAACCTAGTATTGAATCAAAAACAAAGTAAACCAAAATCTTAAGTGAATCAACCTAATCTTGTTTCTGCATTAACCTCATGAAAACCGAGAAATGTAATTTTCAATTATTGGGACAATAAAACCCAAAACTATGAATTCTGAGCTACAGTTTACGTTCATACAGTAACACATTACATTGCAATTTGAGAAACTCAAATCACTGTTTCAACTAGAATTGCATCCAAACACAGTGACTACTAAAAGCTTAAACTTCAATTGAATCAGTGACTAAACCTAATAATGTTGCTATTCTTAATTCAAGGACATAAAAATCAAAAAGATAAATTCTCCAAGCTACAGTACAATTTGAATACATTCCAAAGCAGCAAGACGAAGAAGCTTCGTTTTTTATTTTTGTACTCCTTCTACACAAATCAAAACTAGCAAAGACGAAACCATATAAAATTACAGAGAAGTATTAATTGAAAATTTTTGGGTATGAAGATACCTGAAATGTGAAGATCCTCGATCGTCGGAGATTTGCTTCGGCGACATCATTTTATAGCCCAAAACACCGGAAACAGTAGAAATCAAAAACTACTCTTTCGAACTTAGAAAGAGATGGTGTAAAGTGAAGACGAATTTGAGTGTAGCTGTGATGATGGAAGAAGAAGGTATCGTCTTCTTCGTCAAGGAACACAAAGGTCCCCAAGCTCTCATCAAGTCCGAGCGATCTATTCAGATCGGAGAGAGAGAGAGAGAGGAGACGTAGATTTTGGTATTGGGCCTTCTTTAAGCCCATTAAAAAGTGGGTTTAAACTAAAGAAACTCAAGGCCTGTGCACGAATATTAAAAAAGGGTAAAATAGTAAAAGAACTTCAGAGAGCTCTTCTCTTCATCTTCTGAACAACAACAGCTCTCGACCTTCACGAAAATGGCGTCTTGTTCTCTTCCTTTGTTCCCATGCCTTTCCTCGATCAAAATGACGATGAAGCCCATGGCGACTCTCACCAATTCCCCTAAAACTATAGTTCCATACGAGCTGAAAAAGGGGCAAAACCGTCTTTTTCACAAGCTACCTTCGGGTTTAAAAATGGAGGTAATCGAACAGAGGAGAAGCAAATCCGAAAGAGACACTCCACCATTAGTGTTTGTTCATGGAAGTTACCACGCAGCTTGGTGTTGGGTTGAGCATTGGTTACCTTACTTCTCTTCTTCTGGGTTTGATTCTTATGCTGTTAGCTTATTAGGTCAGGTAAATTTCTCAAATCATGAAAAAGTTTTGATTTTTATGCTGACATTTGATTTCCTTCGTATCTAATTTTACTATAAGGATCATAAAGTTTCAAACTTTGGATTGGAATTAGAGTGATTTGTGTGTGATTGTGATGTTGCTGTCTTTTGAATGTAATAGGGTGAAAGTGATGTACCTTTAGGAACAGTTTCTGGAACACTTCAGGTATTGTCATTGCAATGTGTATTCTACTATATTGGATAGTTACTTTGATTCAACAAGATTCTTAAAAGTGTATGACTTGTTTGTGTAGTAGACGCACGCAAGTGATATTGCGGATTTTATCGAATCGAATCTTGGTTCTTCACCACCTGTGCTTATTGGTCATTCTTTTGGAGGACTCATTGTTCAGTATTACTTGGCAAATATTGTAAACAAACAGTCGTTTGGTAAGATGTAGGTTCGTAGAATGAATTGTGTTATTTCGGATCAGTTGTTATAATGCTTATACAATAACTACTGAGTTTGTTCTTTCGATTGTAGGATCAGAAAGTGTGTTTCCGGAACTTTCAGGGGCTGTATTGGTTTGCTCGGTTCCACCTTCGGGTAATAGGTAACTTGTCAGTGCATATTGGCTCTTTTCCTATATCTGAGAACTTCTTTCTCGTTTAGCTTATATGTAACTTTTGGGATTCTCTTTCTTGTTCAGCGGATTAGTGCTACGTTATCTCTTCTCTAAACCTGTAGCTGCGTTTAAGGTAAAGATCGTTTCGTGTCTTTGAGTTTGTAAGGATGATCTCAGTGTCATGTTCTAATTGTTCAGAAATGTTTGTTTTGGGTTATGTTCTTGGGCAGGTTACTCTCAGTTTAGCTGCCAAAGGTTTTCAGAAATCTATTCCTCTTTGTCGGGAAACATTCTTCTCTCCAGCCATGGATGATCAACTTGTGAAGCGGTAAACATTATAATCTAGCTCAACAGTCACCTTGAATCTAAAATCAAGTTTCGGTGATCTAAAGGAATTGTCTCTCTCTCTTTTCTCGATTCAGTTACCAGGATCTTATGACAGAGAGTTCACGGATGCCACTGTTTGATCTGAGGAAGCTAAACGCATCACTTCCAGTGCCTAAACCAATGGAGAATTCGACAAAAGTTCTTGTTTTAGGTGCTAAAGATGATTTCATAGTGGTAAGAGCTAAGAGTTCCCCCTCCTTGCTAACTGAACCGTAAAATTTCAATCTTGATACCTGTACTAAACCAGAGTGGGTTATGATTTTGCAGGATGATGAGGGGCTGATGGAAACCGGAAGGTTTTACAATGTTGAACCGGTTTGTATTGAAGATGTTGCTCATGACTTGATGCTTGACTGTTCATGGGAGAAAGGTGCTGAGGTTCTTTTGAGTTGGCTTTGTGAATTGTCTAAACCGGAAACTTTATCTGCGTAATGACCGGACTTTTCGGGTAGGTAACTGCTTCTCTTCATTTTTTCAGGTAAAAGAATGTTTAAGTCTAAATTTCTTAGTTAAATGAGAAAGAAGAATGAAGGTTAATTTATAAGTTTTTGGATAGTAAAGATGATGCGTGTGAGAAGAAAACAAAAATCTCGATCTGGTGGTGTCTGGATAATTTTCTCGAGAAAAAAAGTCATACGTAATCTTGTATGATATTAAAGACAACCTCATTTTCTCGAGAAAATTAATAACAGTGCAAGAAAATGCCAATCACAGTCCAAGAATCTCATTTTCTCATGAATTTTTGACACATCCATTGAGTAGCGCTCCCATTACGATATCGGTTTTCAAGCCATATATCCAGCTTCGATTTTGGATATCCCCATTCCCTGTGGCGGACCGGTGGAGGACCTCTGGATTCCTGATGAGAGCTTATAGTTTGCCAATGATTTCAACATCAGCAAAATCCCCTCTACAAAAATTGAAGAGTGGCCCAAATTCAGAAACAGTAGTCTAGATCACAAAGTAACCAAGAAAGATGAGATTGTTTTACCTAAATCAGAAGGCAGAGATGAATCCAATTGAAGATGAAGTGGGCGGCAAAGAAGCTGAGGTATATAGTTGCCATCATTTCTTCCGTACAACTTGACCTCATCACCTTCTTCGTCTTTGCATGGTAGTTTTAAACAAAACTGCCGTTGAAGAAGAGCCATGAAGGATTTCGCTTTCTCTTGGAGATCAGTGTTTTGATCTTCTCTGAAGTTCTATAGTTTACATGGATGGTGGCTAGATGTTGTGGTTCACATAAATTAAGGAACTTAGAGTTGGAGTACTCCACATTCTTTTATCACCGCTTGGTTACCCTGGATGCTAAACGAAAATAAAAGCTTATTGGACGTCACATCAGCTTCAAATTCAAAGGTGAGCAAATGCTCTCTTAAAATGGGAGGCAAGGGAAAGCAATATCGAGGTCTCCATGGAACATCGACGCCAATTTTATCTTTCTCCTTGATACTTAAAAATACAATTGTTTCCGTCCCAGCGGGCTCCTCCTTTTCATTTTCAGCTTTTTTATCCAGCAAGACGCAAGCCTTAAATCTCAAGGTCGTTGGAAAAGGCCTTTGATTCAAAATTACCATTATTGAACTCCCATTAGCTCGGTAAGTGAAGTTTGTGGGCACTTCTCTACTAGGTAAAATTGCAGAGGTACTACCTATAGCCTGGATGAATTCTCTAGCTTCTTTATTCAGCTTGAAGCAGTTAGCAAACTGGAAAAATATCTCTGGATGATTTTGAAAGGAGAAATTTAGTCTCTCTAGTGACTCACAGTTTTTTACCCGTAGTATTGATAAGGAATCTGAAAGCTGTGGGATTGCTACCAGCCTCTTGCACCCCTCTAGTATAAGTGTCCGAAGATGAGAGATTTTCTTGACGCACAGAGGTATTTCTTGCATTTCTGTATCGTTAAAGTACAGCTTTGTGATGATACCAAGAGCATGTGGGAGTTCCTTGAGGTTTTCATTGTATGACATTTCCAAGTTACGAAGACGAGACCACGACCTAATCGTCGAAGGCACTTCTTTTATTGCAGTTCTCATGAGCTTGAGATCCTTAACGTTTGTGGAGATCTCAGGAAATTTTTTGATCAGTAAGCAATCAGTGAGATCAAGGTTATTGAGAGATTCCAAGTTGATATTGGTTGGAAGAATCTCTAGCTTTGAGCATCCTTTTAAATTCAAGTCTTGCAATTTCTGAAGGTTTCCAATAGAGGAAGGGAGCTCTGCCAAACTTGAGCAATCAAACAGAATCAATTCTTCAAGGTTAGTGGCCGTTGAGAGATCAGGCAACTCTTTCAGGTGTTTCGACTCACGCAAATCCATAATCTTGAGATTTCCAAGCGGCTGCACAACCAAATAAGGACAATATATGGAAATATGTGCATTAAAATTATTTTCATATAAATAGACAATACCGTAAAGTCTTTCTTTTTCTCTTTAACTCAAACATTAAATTTTTCACTCATACCATACACTTTCCAACGGTCATCGAATAGATTGATAGACACATCAAAAAACAACTAAGCAATTCGGCTAATGGGAGATAGGCGATACGATAAAGGTTTCCAACGCTGGCTTCAAACTCATATTTAGTTTTTTCGCTTTTCTAAAAAGGGGCTGTTAATTTAAATCTTTTCTCAGCAAAATTTCAACTATTGTTGCACTTGTTATAAAAATGTTATTTTTTCTTTAAATATAATTTTTAAATATAATTTAACATTAAATTCAAAAAAAGAAAGAATTCCATACACTTACCCTTCTAAGAAATATAATACGGGAAGGTCACTCATTTTTGACATAAATTATTCAAGAAAAAACACAGTATTACAAAATTGGAGAGAGACACAACAGTTTTGTACCTGAAATCCTTGCCACAAGTTCTGAAGTTTGCTGTTCGGCATACGTAGCTCGACTAGGTACTTCGTACAGAAATTGGAAGGCAAACAGATCAATGGAAAACGACTCCATACTATTAACCTAAGTTTCTGAGGTAGATTATTCAAACCTTGCTGTAAGTATAATTTATCACTTTCGTTGTCACGATATGGGCCATGGAATTTTAAATATTTAAGGTTAGACATTCTTTCGAAAGCTCTCTCACTAATATTTAATCCGCTTGGTAGGTTTCTTACCTCCAAAAGTATACCTATAATATTTTTACCACCCTGTATAAAGAGAAAAATTGGTGAAAAGAGAGATAATTAGCAATATAATGAAATTAGTTTGTAGAGAACAAAGAAATAAAAGAATCATACTATGTAACTAACCGTGTTATGAGTGAGTACTTCAGAAATATCTCTAGCATCAACCAAAAACTGACGCTTCCCAGGCTCACGAATGGATTGGTGCCCAGGCTTATGACGTGCAATATCTCTACCTAATTGTACTAGTAGATTGTGCATACTTATACGTGTATAATCAGTAGATATAACCTCAATAGATATGAGAGATTTCTCAGCTAAGATGTGGAGCCCTTGTCTCACATTGGAGAAACTTAAAGCAAGATAACCTTCCACTTTCACCATTTCTCTATTGTTGAAAAGGCAGGCTATATGAAGAAACAAATCTTTATCTACATCACCTAAGGCATCATAACTAAATGTTAAAATGCTTTGTATACTAGCATCAAGGCAGTTTTTTATCCTTGGTAATGCATTTACCCACTCAGGCCTCGACATTCCACGGAAGTGTGAACCCATAACTCTTAGTCCCAAAGGTAGATTACCTAAAAGTTTTGTAACTTCCCATGCAAGCTCCTCGAAACCATCTTTAGGGAAATTTTGGCCAAAAGCATACGAACAAAACATCTGATAAGCTTCATATGCTGATGGAAACTCTACCTTGTAAATATGGTTGATACCATGAGCCTTTAAAAGTCTTTGGTCGTGTGTTGTGATGATAATCCGACTTCCGTGACCAAACCACCGAGTTTCTTTTGCTATAGCATCTAGATGTAATGACTGATCGATGCTATCAAGAACAATAAGCACTTTCTTGTCGTTTAACCTATCTTGGACAATGCCTAAATGAGGAAGCTCCATATCTTTATGGTTGATTATCTGGGACATAAATTGTTTTTGTAACTGCATCTTTGCGCTATACTCATCAGAACACGTTGGTCTAGTATACATCGACTCTTTGATATTCTCCATGAAGATACTCAACTCAAAATTTTCAGAAATTTGGCTATATAAGACTCTAGCAATGGTAGTCTTCCCAATCCCAGACGGACCCCAAATCCCAATCATCCTTACTTCATCAGATCCCAAGCATAACAATGATTCCATTTCTTTCATATGAGCTCCCATCCCAACTAAACCATCAAAATCTCTCGACGGTGTAGAAAGATTCAACATGTTTGACACATCAGTTGCGATTTTTTCAGTCATGGCTGCTTCATTATCCCTAACAAATGAAGACATCAATTTATACATATGTTAATTATTCATTAAAAATATTCACATACACATCCGAAATATGTGTTAGTAATAAATGAATACACATCCAAAATATTCACATGAACAATGATATTATTTAAAAGCTACATATAAATATAGTTTGATGTGTTAGTAATATCTGAATCACACCAAGTATAATTCAAAAGGACAAACCAGTTGCGCGAATGCTCTCCAGCTATTGTCGCCACACTTTCCAAAGCTTTTCTCCATCTCTTAATCTCATCTTTTGTTTTGCCTCTACAAGTTTTATTGAAGACCTTACCAAAATCTCCGGTCTGCTTCTTTACATCAGTTGGATCAACGTCATAGAAAATGGTCATCACTCTTTGACCAAACTCTTCTCTACACTTCATGATCTCCACCAACTCGTTAAGGCACCATGAAGAAGAAGCATAGTTCCTCGAAAGCAAGACGATCGCGATCTTGGATCCTCTAATAGCTTCTATGAGCTCAGGACCAATTGACTTGCTCCTCTCGATATCATTATCAATAAATGGTTCGATCCCCTTTCCTTTGAACTCTTTTAGGATGTGAGTAAGAATGGTTTTTCGAACATCAGTTCCGTGGAAGCTCGGGAAGACATGGTGTTTCCGAGTTCGAGAGAAAGAAGATGGGGTTGATGAAATAGATAAAGTTTGAGAAGAAGGAGAAGAAGCTATTGATTTGTTTTCTTGATGGGATTTGTATTTTATATAATACATGAAAAACCAAAGAGTGAAGAAGGTTACTGCAGCAACACAAAAACCAGAGTAAAAAGAAGAATCCATGGAGTATGATTCAGAGAAGATCAATATCTCAGAGACTTTTTAGAAAGCAATGGATTAAAAATCAATGGTAAGAAGCATAATATTTAGCCCACATGCAAGTCAAACTAAAAGAAATAAAACTTCACTTGAAAAATCACAACTTGTTTAAACTAATACTTATATTATGCAGGGGTTATATAATTTTTAATCATGGAAAAACGCTGGTTTTTGAGCGTTTAGACAAAACTGCTGACGGTTAGACAATGAAATACGAAGGTAAGATGCATAATTAGTCAAATAAAAATAAACAAAACTTCTCTTAAGAAATTTCAACTTGGTTTAAATAAGGATAAATGCTAAATAGGTGTATCGATTAGGTACAATGTTGGGTGTAATTCGGAAGATGGAGCATAGTCAACGTTTTATTTTTTTAACTAAGAGATTTTGGAACCGAATTTCATACAATCCCTTAAATCCGAGACCAGAACATGTTATATAATCTTGTTCTAAGCGTTATTGGAATCAGTGACCTCTATTTTTCTGCCAAAATTGTTTATCAGTTAAGTTATTAACGCTTGATTAAAGAAGATAGAGATGAACATACGTTTCCACATTCATGACCCTATAATGTGGCCATGAGGATCAGAAACTTTGCAGATCCTCTCAGAGCTCGTATCAAATTTCTGTACTATGTATATATATGTAATGCATTTTAATATATTATTTGACACAAACTGAACTCAAATATTCAATAATGGGGGCCAAATTGATTGATAATACGTGAAGATATGATAAGAGACTTTGATAACATAACAATTATGTAGGTTTATAAATATTTAATCCGGAGATGGAACGAAACCTCCAAAAACTTAGGCAATGAAATACGAAGTCAAACAAAAATAAATAGTCACTTAAAAAATTAACAACATTGTCCAAATAATTAAGTACAAATGCATTATAGCGATTACGTATTAAAACATTTTTATAAAATGATTAATGTAGAATTCCTTAGTCGAATTTTCCCATTGACATTATTCTTTCTTGTTGAAGCTTTGCAGTTAACTCTTTTAATATACCTTTTGGTTGACATTTTGTATTCTTTAATAAAGATTCTGGATAATTACATTGAAGCTAAACAATATTGAAAATTCGTAAATGAGTTGAAGCTCTTAAAAATACTTTTTTTTTTTTACGTTTCAAATATTTGTTAAAATATAATTTTGATTGAGTAGGCACATTCTTTATGAAACTTCTTTCTATATATATGATAAATGTATTTGATATATATATATATATATATTACAAGAGATAACGAAGTTCTCAACTCATCTTGGCTTTAGCTTGTATGAAGAATGAAGTATAGATTTTAGAAATTATCAGCATCATGAATAAACAAGTCATACGATCATTATGAAAATGGATCGACACTATAAATGAATTCCTAAAAAATCAAATACATATACCAAACTTTTACCGAACATTTGAAAATAATCCACACTCCTTCATTTAATTCCCCTATATATAAAAATGTGTTTTACCATAACCATGCCCTCCAATATTTTCTCGAGAAATTTTCTAACAATGCCAGAAAATGATAGTGACAGTCCAAGAATCTCATTTTCTAACGAGTTTCGCCATTCTGATTCCATACCAATAGAGCAACGTCTGGTACAACAACCTCCATTAGATTTCTCCAACTTTTACTGGGGCTTCCCATTCGAGTTCTCGATATCTCGCCACGCAATCTCCTGCGAGAGCTCGTGGTCCGCCGAAGATTTCTTCAATGAAGGCAAAATCCTCCCAATAGAAATGAAAAAGATCCCGGAACCATTAAATCGTAACAAATCAAATAAATATAAAACTGGTTTACCTAAACCGGATATTAACCCAATCGAAGATTTTGAAATAGAAGAAATCGGAGACGACCAGGAAGATGAGGTAAAGTTACAATTACTTGGGTATAATAACTCAACTAGTTCGAATTCTCTGAAGCGTCAGGTTTCTTCATCTTCTTCTTCTTCTTCTTTAAACGATGGCTTTATGAAACCGGCAGTGAACATGAACCAAAATTTCAATAGGAAGTTTCTACTCATTTCTAAATACTACTCATGCATATCTAGTACTTGTAGTCAATCATAAGCAATGTATTGTAAAATACTTTGACCCCTAACAAGACTAGACAAGTGATTTAGTACCTCCAAGTAATGCTTGTGGATTCTTGGCCAATTTGGGACCAAATTTCAATAGGAGTTTCTACATCTTTCTAAACACTCTTCATGCATATCTAGCACTTGTAATCAATAATAAACAATGTATTAAAACACATTTGACCCCAAACAACACTAGACAATTGATTTACTACTTCCATACAATGATTGTGGGCTTTTGGCCAATTTAAGTCCAAATTTCAATGAGTTTCTTCACATTTCTAAACACTCTTCATGCATATCTAGCACTTGTATGCAATCATAAGCAATTTATTTAAACATATTTTGACCCCAAAAAATACCAGACAAGTGATTTACTATTTCTAAGCAATGCTTGTGGGTTTTTGGCCAATTTTAGACCAAATTTCAATAGAAGTTTCTACACATTTCTTAACACTCTTCATGCATATCTAACAACTGTAATCAGCCGTAAGCAATGTATTGTAACACATTTTTACTCCAAACAACACTAGACAAGTGATCTTCCCGGCAATGCTTGTGGTTTCTTCGCCAATTTGGGACAAAGTTTCAACAGGAGGTTTCTTAGAGAGTGTTGTATTAAAGGAAGAAAGAAAAAAACTGCATATGAAAGTACCCCGTTCACACACTACCAAAAAAAAATGTACATAGTTCACAAATTATAAAAGTGTCTACTTTACAAAACACCTCTTGTTTATTCTCTGGATGTCTCAACCAAAGTCTTGAATTACTTTGGTCAATAACATGAAGGGACTTAGAGTTGGAGTACTCCATATTCTTTTATCCTTACTTCGTTACTGTCAAGGTGGAGTTTAAACAAAAGCTCATTGGAGGTAACTTCCGCTTCAAGTTCAAAGGTGAGCAAATGCTCTGTTAAAAAGGGAGGCACAATAAAGCTATATGCAGGAGCAATGACGCTAGATTTATGTTTGTCCATGATGTCATAGTATGCCACTATTTCCTTCGTCGTCTCATTATTATCATTAACCAGCAATATGCAAGCCTTAAATCTCAAGATTGTAGAAAGGGGCCGTTGTTTCAAACTTACTATCACGAAACATCCAGAATTACCTCGATGAGTGAAGTTTGCAGGCACTTTTCTACTCGGTAAGAGCGCACATGTAATACTAGTCTGGATGAGTTGTCTTGTTTCTTTATTCAGCTTCAAACGGTTAGTAAACTTGAGATATTTCTTCGGATGATTGTAAAAGGAGCAACCATGTTTCTCCAATGACTGGCCGTTTTCGATCCATTGGTACGATACTGAAAGCTGTGGGACTGCTACCAGCTTCTTGTATCCCTCTAGTATAAGTGTCTCAAGGCGAGGTATTTTATTGACCCATGAAGGAATTTCTTTCGTTTCCGTATCCTTAAAGTGCAACTTTGTGATGAAAGCAAGAGCATGCGAGAATCCTAGAATGTTTTCATTGTATGAAATTTCCAAGTCATGAAGACGAGACCATGACTTGATCGACGTAGGCACCTCTCTGATTGCAGTTCTCATGAGCTTGAGATCCTTAATATTTGTGGAGATCTCAGGAAAACTCTTCAGTAGTAAACAATTAGTGAGATTAAGTTTATCGAGAGATTTCAAGTTTATGTTGATAGGAAGAACCGCTAGCTTTGAACATCCTTGCAACTGTAGTTCTTGCAATTTATGAAGTTTTCCAATAGAGAACGGAAGCTCCACCAAGCTAGTGCACATTCCAAGATACAATTTCTGGATATTAGTGTTGTTTCCAATAGAGGTGGGGATCTCCATCAAACTTTCACATTTAGTGAGGATCAATTCTTGAAGTTTAGTGGCAGCTGAAAGATCAGGTAACTCATTTAGGTTTTTTGACCCTCTCAAATTTATCCACTTGAGGTTTCTAGGCGACTGCACAAACAAACACATATGAGAGAAGAATATATTGAATGCTAAAATCAATAAACTTGAAGAGAACCACATAACATTTTTGTACCTGATGTCCTTCCCACAACTTCTGAATATTGCTATCTTTCATTTCTAGTGCAACAAGGTACTCCGTACAAAAATTGAAAGGCAGAAATGTCATCGGAAACAAATTCCACTCTAGTAATATAAGTTTTCGAGATAGATAATTCAAACTTTGTGGTAAGCAAGATTTATCGCTTTGGTCACCATGTGGACCATTGAATCTTAAGAATTGAAGATTAGACATTCCTTCAAACGCTCTCTCACTTATATTCATTCCATCTAACGCCTTGTATGGATCAAAATTTATGCCTATTACACTACTAGTACCCTGAAAAAGACCAAAAATTAGATAAAATAGAGAACAAGGGATGTTTAGCTATCAGAGAACCAGAAAGCAGAAGAATATTAATAATACTAACCGTATTATCATAGAGTACTTCACAAATATCTCTAGCATCAACCAAAAATTGATGCTTCCAAGGCTCATTAATGGATTGATTCCCAGGCGAATGACGAACTATATCCCTTCCTAGTTGTACTAGTGGATTATGCATCTCTATCCATCTATCGCCATTATATATGTCACCCCTTTCAATAGATATGAGAGATTTCTTAGCTAGAAGTTGAAGTCTTTGGCTCACATCAAAGAATTTGTGCGCAAGATACCCTTCCACCTTCTCAACACAATGATAGTTAAAAAAACAAGCTATATGAAGAAATAGATCTTTGTCTTCACCACACAAAGCATCATAACTGAACTTTAAAATGCTTTTAATATTGCCATCAAGACGAGTCCTTAACCTTGGTAGTGCACTTATCCACTCTTGCTTAGACATTCCACGAAAATAGGAGCCCATCACTCTTAGTCCCAATGGTAGTTCACCTAAAAGTATTGTAACTTGCCATGCAAGCTCCTCAAAACCATCTTTAGGGAAATTTTGACCAAAAGCATACAAACAAAAGATTTGACAAGCTTCATATGTTGATGGAAACTCCACCTTGTAAATATGGTTGATGCCATGAGCCTCCAAAAGTTTTTTGTCTTGCGTTGTGATGATAATACGACTTCCATGACCGAACCAGTGAGTTTCTTTCGCGATAGAATCTAGCTGTATGGATTGATCAATGCTATCAAGAACAATAAGCACTTTCTTGTCGTTCAACCTATCTTGGATAATGCCTAAATGAGGAAGCTCCATATCCTTATGGTTAAATATCTGGGACATAAATTGTTTTTGTAACTGCATCTTTGCACTATACTCATCAGAACATGCTGGTCTTATATACATCCACTCTTTGACATTCTCCATGAAGATACTCAACTCAAAATTTTCAGAAATTTTGCTATATAAGACTCTGGCAATGGTAGTCTTCCCAATCCCAGACGGACCCCAAATCCCAATCATCCTTACTTTATCAGATCCCATGCATAACAATGATTCCATTTCTTTCATATGAGCTCCCATCCCAACTAAACCATCAAAGTCTCTTGACGGTGTAGAAAGATTCAACATGTTTGACACATCAGTGGCGATTTTTTCAGTCATGGCTGCTTCATTATCCCTAACAAATGAAGACATCAATTTATACATATGTTAATTATTAATTAAAAGATATTCACATACACATCCAAAAGATGTGTTAGTAATATATGAATACACATCCAAAATATTCATATACACAAAGATATCATTTATAAGCTACATATAAATATAGTTTGATGTGTTAATAATATATGAATGACAACAAGTATAATTCAAAAGGACGTACCAGTTGCGCGAGTGCTCTCCAGCTATTGTCGCCACACTTTCCAAAGCTTTTCTCCATCTCTTAATCTCATCTTTTGTTTTGCCTCTACAAGTTTTATTGAAGACCTTCCCAAAATCTCCGGTCTGCTTCTTTACATCAGTTGGATCAACGTCATAGAATATGGTCATCACTCTTTGACCAAACTCTTCTCTACACTTCATGATCTCCACCAACTCGTTAAGGCACCATGAAGAAGAAGCATAGTTCTTAGAGAGCAAGACGATCGCGATCTTTGATCCTCTGATAGCTTCTATGAGCTCAGGACCAATTGACTTGCTCCTCTCGATATCATTATCAATAAATGGTTCGATCCCCTTTCCTTTGAACTCTTTTAGGATGTGAGTAAGAATGGTTTTTCGAACATCAGTTCCGTGGAAGCTCGGGAAGACATGGTGTTTCCGAGTTCGAGAGAAAGAAGATGGTGTGGATGAAAGAGATAAAGTTTGAGAAGAAGGAGAAGAAGCTATTGATTTGTTTTCTTGATGGGATTTGTATTTTATATAATACATGAAAAACCAAAGAGTGAAGAAGGTTACTGCAGCAACACAAAAACCAGAGTAAAAAGAAGAATCCATGGAGTATGATTCAGAGAAGATCAATATCTCAGAGACTTTTTAGAAAGCAATGGATTAAAAATCAATGGTAAGAAGCATAATATTTAGCCCACATGCAAGTCAAACTAAAAGAAATAAAACTTCACTTGAAAAATCACAACTTGTTTAAACTAATACTTATATTATGCAGGGGTTATATAATTTTTAATCATGGAAAAACGCTGGTTTTTGAGCGTTTAGACAAAACTGCTGACGGTTAGACAATGAAATACGAAGGTAAGATGCATAATTAGTCAAATAAAAATAAACAAAACTTCTCTTAAGAAATTTCAACTTGGTTTAAATAAGGATAAATGCTAAATAGGTGTATCGATTAGGTACAATGTTGGGTGTAATTCGGAAGATGGAGCATAGTCAAGGTTTTATTTTTTTAACTAAGAGATTTTGGAACCGAATTTCATACAATCCCTTAAATCCGAGACCAGAACATGTTATATAATCTTGTTCTAAGCGTTATTGGAATCAGTGACCTCTATTTTTCTGCCAAAATTGTTTATCAGTTAAGTTATTAACGCTTGATTAAAGAAGATAGAGATGAACATACGTTTCCACATTCATGACCCTATAATGTGGCCATGAGGATCAGAAACTTTGCAGATCCTCTCAGAGCTCGTATCAAATGTCTGTACTATGTATATATATGTAATGCATCTACATATATAAAGTTAGCTTTTTCTCTCTTTTCATGATGCCACCTAAGCATCCACTTAAGCCACATTTTTGTTTAAACATTAAAATAAATTTAAAACATTCATTTAGTACATATTTATGTTACTTATTTAATTAATAGAAAGTTTATATAAATAAAATAATTATGTAAAAAATGAAATGTTAAAATAAGAAAAACAATACTTTAATTTTTTATTAGTGTAATAATATAATTCAACTTTCATTTTAAATTGATCATAATTTAATATTTTAAATATGTTACTGAGTTTTAGAATGAAAGTAAAATTTAAATTTATGGTAGACTAAAACAACATTTATGTATGAGAATTTTTGAGAAATACCCCTTTTGGTGTATCCCTTTTTAAAAATACCCCCTTTATCTATCCATTTTCAAAAATACCCCTTTTTAAATATTAAAAATTATAAAGTTTTATATAGTTTAGAAGGTACTTCTATATAATAACTACTACTGTGAGATTCAATACAAATATTTTAAAATGTATTAAATAGTTTTAAATCGTTTTTATAAGTTTTATAAGGTTTTTAAAAGGTATTTAAAAGGGTTTATACGGTTTTTATAAGGTTTTTATAAAGTTTTTATAATTTATTTTTACGCTATTTATGAAAGGTATATAAAATTTTATACACATATAAAGGTGATTTGTGTATATATTTATAAGATTACACACATATTTAGATAAATTTCAACATTTTTAGTGGGTTTTTGATAAAGTTTGAAAAGGGGGTATTTTTAAAAAGAGGTATATGAAAAGGGGTATTTTTGAAATTCCCCCTTTATGTAATTGTATATATAAAATTATAAAGAGGAAAAATAAAATGAAAGTGAAATATTAGTTTATAACATGATCAAAAAGAAAAAAAATGATATTTTATAAATTGAATCAAATGCTTTTAATCCAAATTTGAGTATTGAAATATAATAATTAAAGAGAAAATAATTATAATATTTTTTGAAAATCAATTAAAAAATAATAAAATATCACAATATGAATAAAAAATCAACGAAACAAAATTATAAACCTCCCGCGCGGAGCGCGGGTCAACTGCTAGTCTATATATATAAAGTTAACTTTTTCTCTCTTCTCCTTATGCCACATCATCTTCCACATCAGCTGCCACATCATCATTCATCTTAATTTTTTACATTGATTTAGAATTACAACACTTTAGTTTTTAATTTCTTTTCTACCTCATAACTTAGCCTTTATTTTATTTTTATATTCAATAGTGGTTTAAAAATATATATATATATATAGTAAAAAACATTTATGTCCAAAATAAATAAAACAAGTATCTATTTATAAAGTAATGATCAATTTTTTGATTAATGGGGCTAAATACAAAACAAAATACAAAACAAGGATATTTTTACTATACATATAGATATACCACTAAATTGATATCATCCGAAGCCACATCAGACGAGAACACAACTAATTTTAGGCATAAGAAGTAGAAAAAAAACTAAAAAGTAAAATGAAAACACTTGGATAAATAAATAAGTGGATTCACCAGAATAATTTGGCCTACAAGAATTGAAGGCTTTTGAAATGTAAGGTTCTAACAGCTACTATTTGACCTAAATTAAAGTTAAAAAAATAACAATAAACATTTAATATACTAAATTAATACAAAAACAAGAGTAAAAACAAAAAACAAAAAAAAATCAAAAAATAAAAAAATAATTATAAAACTCCCGCGCGCAGCGCGGGTCAACAACTAGTATTAATATATTATTTGACACAAACTGAACTCAAATATTCAATAATGGGGGCCAAATTGATTGATAATACGTGAAGATATGATAAGAGACTTTGATAACACCTAACAGTTATGTAGGTTTATAAATATTTAATCCGAAGATGGAACGAATCCTCCGAAAAACTGGAAGTGGAAAAGTGGAAGTATCTCATACATTTATAAATTATATTGATATCCACTATAAATTATATTGATATCCACTCGTTAGTTAGTAATTTAGTACAGTTAAACCATAGATTTTTTAATAGATAGCTCATAGTTCCTTAGCGATGGACAAAAAACCGTAACAAAAAAGTAATGTGTCATTATATACATATATTTTGAAAATTTTACCTAATTATTAATTTATAATATTGATGGGACCATAGATTTAGAAAGGATTTTCAAAATAATTATTATCTTATTATTTTATCGAAATGTGTCTAAAATTACACTGATCCCAACTTGGGACCGAAAAATTTTATTAATTTATAGAGATTATTAATTTAACGAGTATTAATTTTAGTTTTTTACTAAACCGTAAAACCAAGTACAGCTTCTTAGACCATCCTTATTCATGGAATCTTACCAGATACTTTCTTATGCAAATATTAATCCTAAGATACCATGCCCTTAGACCAAGATTATTGGCAAGATCTTAAGTGTAAGAATTACACTAGTAAAGATCTTAAATAAGATAGCTTCTAGTGTAATTCTTACACTTAAGATCTTGCCTTTAATGTTGCCCTTAGGAGTTTGCGCCGCATTGTGTGGTTGTCGACTCTCCCAATGGTGTGGACATCGTAGAGACCCGACCGAAAGATCTCGCGTAAGGGGGTGGTTTACGGATCTCCCGTCTCAGTTTTTGCAGTTGCCCGTCCCTTAGCCGTGCATAGTTGATCGCCTCTCTCAAGGATTTAGGTTGAAACATCCGAATACCCTCTGAGATCGCCTTGATATCCCGATGCCTGCGTCTGGTTGTCTTCTGTTCGTCAGTTACTGCGAGAGCCCGACGATCCTCCATTCTCACGGTTACTCACGGCGTCGAGTAAACGTGCTTGTGCTTCCTCTATCCTCCGGAGCTTGGCCTCCAAATCTCCCTTAAGATCCACCACTGCCACGCTCATCTTGCATCAACCCTTGGCTAGTCTCCAACTCGTCCAACCGTTCCTTGTGGGTGCCCATCGGCTCGACGGATGCCTCCGGAGACGCGATGTTCTTCCCTTTGCGTTTAGAATGTCGAAGCAAAATGATTGTTTGAACAAAAGAAAAGAAAAAAATGCTCTGATACCACTGATACGTCCCTCTTCAAAGCTTAGAGAATTGCTAAAGAACCATTGATATTTTTTGGGTAGTAAGACTACCTCTTTTTGGTTTTTTCATTGATATAAATAAGAGAATTACAAAGCCAAGTCTCGTGAATAATCACGATCTAACAACTGAGGGAAAATGGGAAAGGGGTTGAGTGGTTCCTTATAAGATGGACGACCACTTCAACTTATTTGCAAAACTCAAAAATACGATAAATAAAAGAAATACTCCACGAGTGCGTCAATCCATGTAACGTCGGTTTGGTCTTCTCACTCGAACCGGTCGGTTTGACGAACCCGCATTAGACCCAACTTGGTTCCTATCAATGATCTCCACCAACTCATTCAGGCTCCAAGAGGAAGAAGCATAGTTCTTTAAAGCCAAAACAATCGCGTTATTTGATCTTTTGATCGCTTCTCTGAGCTCAAGGCCGAAAGACTCGCCCCTCTCGATATCATTATCAATGAATGGGTTGATTCCTTTTCCTTTGAACTCTTTTAGGATGTGAGCAAGAAAATTCTTTCGAACATCTGCCCCATGGAAGCGTGGGAAGACATCGTGTTTCCGATTTCGGGACAAAGATGATGGAGTACATGAAAGGGACAAAGAAGAGGAAGATGAAGAATCTTCTGTTGTTTTGTTTTCTTCATTGACTTGTTGGGAAGAATCTATGAGCTCAGGACCAATTGACTTGCTCCTCTCGATATCATTATCAATGAATGGATCAATCCCTTTTCCTTTAAAGTCTTTTAGGATGTGAGTAAGAAAGGTTTGAGGAGATGGGGTTGATGAAAGAGATAAAGTTTGAGAAGAAGGAGAAGAATCCATGGAGTATGATTGAGAGAAGATCAATATCTCAGAGACTTTTCAGTAAGCAATTGCAGAAGTAAATGTAAAGGACTAGTTCATATATATTCTCTCTCGAGTTTTCTATAAATATATTATTTGTTTCTTGGAATTAATCTCTCTTTTTGGTTTACCTGTAATTAAGAAAAAAAATATAAATTGACACAAACTGAACTCAAATATTCATTAATATAATGTAAAAAGATGTTAAGAGGATTTGATAATTCCTAAAAATGTGAGGTTTATAATCTTTTAAATTTTAATCATGTAGTTTCCTAATGATGTAGGTTTTATAATATATAGTCATAATTTCTTAGAAAATCCCTGGAAATGGATCGATAAAGACGCATAATATTTAAGCCTACAAGTCAAACAAAAATAAATACTAATAAAATCACAACTTGCTTAAATTGATACTCAAATAAAATGATGCAAGATTCATAATTTGAAATATTTTTCGAGCCAATGAATTGTATTATTTGAAAGATGGGACTAAAGTTTTTATAAAAAAAGGAATACAAAGTCAAGAGGAAGACTAAAGGCATTGAGATTCTCATCTTTATAAGTACATATAGGGATTAAGTGGAACAAGTACGTAAAATGATTGAACTAGTTTAAAAGTACTGAGGATTGCTTGTAATCCAAGAAACTACTTCTGACATTATGTTTTAACGATATTGAGTTATATAAGTTGAACCATGATAATGACTAAAATTACAAAGCCAAGTAAAGATGTTGTAAATGAAAAATATATATATTTTTTGCAAAAAAAAAAAAAAAAAAAAAATACAACTTCTAAAATCAAGAATTCAAGATGATCCGGACCAAAGTCTTGAGGTTTTTTCTCTAAAGAAAAGGATAGGACTTAGAGTTGGAGTACTCCACATCCTTTTATCACAGTTTGGTTAACATTATTAACATCAAACTCAACGAAAATCTCGTTGGACGTCGTCACATCAGCTTCAAATTCAAATGTGAGCAAATGGGAGGCTAAAATGGGAGGCACTCCAAAGCCATGTGCACGTCGCCATGGAACAACAACACCGACTTTGTGTTTGTCCTTAATACGATAGCATACCACAATTGATCTACCATTGTCAGATGTATTTACCAACAAGACACATGCCTTGAATCTCAAGGTAGTAGAAAGAGGCCTTTGTTTCAAAGTCACCATCACATAACTTCCGGTATTAGATCGGTAAGTGAAGTTTGAAGGCACTTGTCTTCCGGGTAAGATTGAAAATGTACTACTACTAGCCTGGATGAGTTCTATTGCTTCCTTATTCAGCTTCAAGCAGTTGACAAACCCGATATACATCGGTTTCTTGTGAAAGGAGCAATCAAGCCTCTCTAGTGAGTCACAATTTGTTACCCCTATGTTTGAAAAGGAATCAGAAAGCTGTGGGATTGTTACAAGCTTCTTGCATCCCTCTAGTAATAGTGTCTCGAGACGAGACATTTTCTTGACCCATAAAGGAATTTCTTGCATTTCGGTATCATCAGAAGACAACATTGTGATGGTGTCAAGAGCATGTGGGAATTCCTTGAGGTTTTCATGGTATGACATTACCAAGTAACGAAGACGAGACCATGACTTGATCCTCAACGGCACTTCTTTTATTGCAGTTCTTGTGAGACTGAGATGCTCAATGTTTGTAGAGATATCAGGAAAAGTTTTCACCAATAAGCAATCAGTCATATCAAGTCTATGGAGAGATTCCAAGTTAATGTTGGTAGGAAGCACCTCTAGCTTTGAGCATCCCCGCAATCTCAACTCTTGGAGTTTATGAAGGCTTCCTATAGAAAAGGGCAACTCCACCAAGCTAGTGCACATATCAAGATTTAACTTTTGGAGACTAGTGGCGTTTCCAATAGAGAGGGGAATCTCTTCCAAGCCTGAGCATCTAGTGAGATTCAAATCTTTAAGGTTAGTCGCAGTTGAGAAATCAGGTAGCTCCCTTAGGTTTCTCGAGTAACTTAAATTCATCCACTTCAGGCTTCCAAGTGGCTGTACAAACAAATAAAGACAACATATGTAAATACATTTACTAGCATATGAAACTAAAAGAAACTTCCAGAATTAAGATTAAATTCTAACAACATAATATTCAAACCAAATCCGAACCCTACCAAAAAAAAACATATTATCAAATAGAGAGAAAATACAACAATTATGTACCTGATTTCCTTCCCACAACTTCTCAAGTTTGCTTTTCCGCATATTTAGGCTGACTAGGTACTTTGTACAAAAATTGGAAGGCAAGGTTCTGATCGGAAAACAGATCCATTCTATTAATCTAAGTTTATGAGGTAGATAATTCAAACCTCGCGGTAAGTACAACTTATCGCTTCCCTCGCCGTATGGGGCCACAAATCTTAAGAATTTAAGGTTAGACATTCCTTCAAAAGCTTCCTCACTTATATTTAATCTGTCTGATAGGTTATTTAAGCCGAAACATATACCTATAACACTTCTACTACCCTGCCAAAAGACAAAAAGATAGAAAATGAGAGATAAGTAGGCTATTAAACAAATTTAATTTGTAGAGAACGAGGAAATTTTAGCCTAATAATATCATGTTAACTCACCGTGCCATCAGTAAGTACTTCACAAATATCTTTAGCATCAACCAAAAATCGACGCTTCCAAGGCTCGTGAATGGATTGGAGCCCATGTTGATGACGAACAATTTCTCTGCCCAATTGTACTAATAGATTATGCATTTTTATCACTCCATTGTTAATACCTTTGAAATCAAGAGCTATGAGAGATTTCTCAGCTAAGAGGTGAAAGCCTTGCCTCACATCCAGGAAATCTATAGCAAGATAATCTTCAACTTTCACCATTTCATCATTGTTAAAAAGGCATGCTATATGAAGGAATAAATCTCTATCTTCATTGCATAAAGCATCAAAACTGAACTTTAAAATGCTTTGAATACTAGCATCAAGGCAAGTCTTTAACCTTGGTAGTGCATTTACCCATTCATCCTTAGACATTCCTCGGAAGTTGGAGCCCATAACTCTTAGTCCCAATGGTAGTTCACCTAAAAGTCGTGTAACTTCCCAAGCAAGCTCCTCAAAACCATCTTTAGGAATTTTTTTACCAAAAGCATACATACAAAACATTTGATAAGCTTCATATGTTGATGGAAACTTAACCTTATAGATATGGTTGATGTCACGTTTCTTCAAAAGTTTTTGGTCTTGTGTTGTGATGATAATTCGACTCCCACGACCAAACCATTTACAGTAACCTCTATAAATTAATACTCGATAAATTAATAATCTCTATAAATTAATAAATTTCTTCGGTCCCAAGTTGGGACCAGTGTAATTTTAGACATATTTCGATAAAATAATAAGATAATAATTTTTTTGAAAATCTTTTGTAAATATATGGTCCCAATAATATTATAAATTAATAATTAGGTAAAATTTTCATAATATATGTATATATAGACACATTAGTTTTTGTTAGAGTTTATTTCTAATATTTTACTATATCAAAAATTGTTAGCGTTCTCTTTCAAGACATAATAATTATTATTTTCTTTGTAATTGATTATATAAAATACTAATTATCATGATTAAATCTCATTTTTAAATATTTTTCTGAAAAAACTTTCAAATTAGGAAAATCTCTTTAATTTATCGATAAATTAATACCTCTATAAATTAATAGATTTTCATGGTCCCAACATTATTAATTTATAGAGGTTTTACTGTAGATTCTTTTGCGACAGCATCTAGTTGCATTGATTGATTAATACCATCAAGAACAATAAGCACTTTCTTGTCGTTCAACCTATCGTGTGCAACTCCTAAATGAGGAAGCTCCATATCCTTATGGTTGAGTATCTGGTACATTAACTGTTTTTGTAAGTGCAACTTTGCACTATAAACATCAGAAAACAGAGATCTTGTTTGCATCAAATCTTTGATATTCTCCATAAAGGCACTCAATTCAAAATCGTTACATAACTTGCTATGTAAGACTCTGGCAATGGTTGTCTTTCCAATCCCAGACGGACCGCATATCCCAATCATCCTCACTTCATCAGAGTCTTGTTCCAACAACGATATTACTCTTTCTATATGAGCTTCCATCCCAATTAAATCGTCAAAGTCTCTCGACGGTGAGGAACGATTAAGCATGTCTAGAACATCAATGGTGATTTTTTCAATCATGATCGCTTCATTATCCCTAGGAAAATAAAAAAGAACTTTTATAAATATGTTAATTATTTGTGAAAATTTCTCATACACAAATAGAAATATTGCTTGTGTTGTCAGTTTTTAAAAAGATACTAATAAGTATTGTAATCTTTATTATAATATTAAAAGAGAAGTACAAATTAGAATATTGCAAAATTATTTTTACCAAAATAAAAAGAATATTGCAAAATTATGATTCAAATTCCATAATTTCTCTTTAATTATTGCTTTTAGAAAAAGAATTTAGAAATCAATAAGGGTAATTTGGTATTGATGAAAATGACATTTGGATCATCCAATTTACATAAATTTAAAGTCTAAATTTAATTTTTATATGACTAAGATTAATAATAAAATTTTATAAGTCAAACTAATTTTAAAATATGCAATATATAAAAAAAAATAATCTTACATATTTATAATGTTCGATTTTTATATATTTTATTTTTAAAACATTTACAAAAATAAAAAGAAACTTAATTCAAGATTTCAAAAAAGAGATTACATATTGTTAATATGTATTTAAAATTAGGCATTTATGATGATAATATTTGATAATTATGGTATCTTTTCAATGCTATGACGATAACAAATTCCAAAATTTTAGAGGATATTTTTTAGAATATTTAATATTTATGAAATAATATATTCATTGTTTACAAAAATTTTAAAAATCAAGGCCTTATATTATTCCTTAATTAAAAGTTTTTAATAAATATATATATATATATATATATTTAATTAGAAATATTTATTTTTACCATGATAATAATTATAATTTTTAATTTCATAAAATATTCAATGTGCAAAAACATTGTTTTGTTGTAAAAGATTTAGAGCTTGCGGATCAACATTATTTGTTATATGATGAATGAAATGAAACTGTTATTTCTTTGACACTTTAAAATGTGTAATTGCAAAAATTTATTACTATATTACATAGGTACTACGGGTTAAATCTAAAAGCTTAGAATCTAATTCTTACACTTTAAATAATGTTATTTTTAAAATTTTTGTATTTATAGATAAAATGTTATATCGTGGTATATTGTACCACAGGTTTAAAACCAATCTTCAGACCTGCTTAAATGTTTATGTAAAACGTAATAAAAAGAATAGATCATAAATTTTTATAATTCTCAACCTCTAAATATTTTTGCAACTTCTAAATTAATCATTCAAAACATTTGATAATGTTAGGAACAAAACCTCATGCTTAAGTTTATGCATGTGTAACCGCAACTACTCCGTCTAAATCAATCAAACTCTATATGACTACGATAAAAACATATAATTTTTAATAAAAGTAGTAAAACTAGCATAGTCTAACTACTATAAAAATAAATATTTTTCCGTGGTGTACCGCGGGTTATATCCTAATAAATATGTTTTGATGTGTTACGAAAATATTTACTTAGAGCAAGCTAAAACAAAACTCAAGAGGACAAACCAGTTGTGCGAATGCTCTCCAGCGATTTTTGCCACAGCCTCCAAAACTTCTCTCCATCTGTTAATCTCTTCTTCTGATTTACCGTCACAAGTTGTTTTGAAAACCTTCCCAAAATCTCCGGTTTGCTTCTTTACATCTGTTGGATCAACGTCATAGAATATGGTCATCACTGTTTGTCCCAACTCATCTCTACATTTCATGATCTCCACCAACTCGTTAAGGCACCACGACGAAGAAGCATAGTTCCTAGAGAGCAAGACAATTGCGATCTTGGATCCTCTTATAGCTTCTATGAGCTCAGGGCCGATAGACTTGCCCCTCTTGATATCATTATCAATGAATGGGTTGATTCCTTTTCCTTTGAACTCTTTTAGGATGTGAGCAAGAAAATTCTTTCGAACATCTGCCCCATGGAAGCTCGGGAAGACATCGTGTTTCCGATTTCGGGACAAAGATGATGGAGTACTACATGAAAGAGACAAAGAAGAGGAAGATGAAGAAGCTTCTGCTGTTTTGTTTTCTTCAAGAAATTTGTACTTTCCATAAAGCATCAAACATATAGTACTGAAAAGACTGAAGAAGGTTATTGCACCAACCAAAAAATTAAAGAAAACCCAAGAATCCATAAGAGTATGATTGAGAGAAGATCAATATAATCTCAAAGCTTTTCAGAAAAACAATCTGCAAAATGCTTTTATTGACTCAAAACAATATTCAATAATGGGGTCAAATTGATTGAAAATAACGTCAAGATCTTAAGAGATCGAATTTGATAATAATTTAATACGAAGATGGAACCCAAAGTTCATAATCATGCAAGGTTTATAGTTTTTAATGACCGACAGAACTGAACTAAGTCAAACAAACAAACAAAAAACGAAGTCAAACAAAAATAAATAAAGTCATTATTATATAATGGTTTTTGGATTTCGTAAGTCCCATTGAATTAATTTTTTTATTATTATTATTAAAACTTTGCTCTTAAGTCTTAATTTACTTTGGTTAACATTTTTATTCATTAATAAAGACTCTGGACAAGTACAGCGAGGTTAAAGAAAAATTGAAAATGCAGTATGAGTTAGGCTAGCTGTTAAAAACTATTTACTACATATATTTCAAATTAAGTATCGTTGTAGAATTTTAAAATAAGCATTTTCTTTTTCTTTTTTTTTCTAATTTTCAATGTGTATATATATGTTGGTTAAAATTTGTTATTTTTAAAATTTATTCGTTTCATGTATTAACAAATGTATTTTCATATAGATTTATGATGAGCAAAATATACATATTACAAGAGAAAAGCCTTGTATGAAGAATGAAGTATAGATTTTAGAAATTATCAGCATCATGAAGAGACAATTCATAAAGATCATTGATTGGGAAACTATGAATATATAATGAACTCCTAAAATTCAAATACATATACCAAACTTTTACCAAACATTTGAAAATAAACACACTGCTTCATTTAATTCCCCTATACATAATTCTACATATATAAAAAGAAGTATTACCATAACCATGCTCTCCAAGATATCCTCAAGAAAATTTTCTAACAATGTCGGAAAATGATAGTGACAGTCCAAGAATCTCATTTTCTAACGAGTTTCGCCATTCTGATTCCATACCAATAGAGCAACGTCCGGTACAACCTCCATTGGACTTCTCCAACTTCTACTGGGGCTTCCCTTTCGAGTTTTCGATATCACGCCACGCAATCTCCGGCGAGAGCTCGTGGTCGGCCGAAGAGTTCTTCGATGAAGGCAAAATCCTCCCTATAGAAATGAAAAAGATCCCGGAACCAATATATCGTAACAAATCAGATAAATATAAAACCGGTTTACCTAAACCGGATATTAACCCAATCGAAGATTTTGAGATAGAAGAAGTCGTAGACGACCAAGAAGATGAGGTAAAGTTGCCATTACTTGGGTATAATAACTCCACCGGTTTGAGTTCTATGAAGCGTCAAGTTTCATCTTCTTCTTCTTCTTCTTCTTCTTTAAACGATGGTTTTATGAAACCGGCACTGAAGAAGAGCCATGGTCGAGGTTATAGGTATAGAGGCAATGGAGGTGTGGTTAGGGTGAGTTCGTTTCTAGATATGGTTCCTTCGGGTAACATGTTTGGGTTAGGTTCGATAAATCTTGATTGTGGAAGAAACAAGAACAAGTTGAGATCACTGTTTTTTTATTGGTAAGAATTACATTTTGTGAAGTGTTTTAATTAGTCTCTTGTTACGTTTGTAAGGTTATAAGTATACGATGTATCATTCTTCTTAATTAAATACATAATTTTCTTTATTAATAATCCCAATTACTCGAATTAGAGCAGAACTTTAAAGAGAGTACAAATGAAACCTTGCTTCGTTGACTATACCAAGAAATTTGGTTGCAGTGTTATTACAATGATATATAATTAGTTAAGTTTTATTGAAGATATGAAAGTCCGACAAGTCAAGTGACAAGTAACCAATTCCATTTCTTCCCCGTCTTGTTTAGATAGTCTTTATCTTACATGGTGTGTCTAGATATTTTGATGATACACTGTAAAGGAAAATGAAGAAAAGTGCATCACCCATTAAACCAAAAGCTTTTGATTTTTAATAAATCACATTTTTAACATTTTACACATGAGAACCTAATGAATTAAATTAATATATCCTTACAAAAACATGTGATTTTGAAATTCTTTTATGTTTGATTAATTTTGACATTTTTTAAATGGGTGATCGGTGATCCACATTATAATAAGTGATTTAAGTTTAAAAATGACACTCAATTTGAAACAAAAATATCGAGTAGAGCATTAGTACTTATTTATTTGCATGTACAAGTTTTTAATTTCTGGATCAAAATTTATCTAATATATTAGTTTGGTTCATGGAAAGTGGAAACTATGTCATCAATAGTAGCAATAAGTCAATAACAATAATGTGTTTCCAAAAAAAAAATCAATAACAATAATGTTATATCCATATTATTGAAATTAATTACAATAACAAAACAAAGCCAATTGTGATTTATCAAATTCTATCAAACCGGTCTTAGCATTTGTACTCACATTGGCACAAATTATAGTTACCAAGGAAATTACAAGATCCACGTCCACTATTATATTTTTCTGCGCAGTTCGTATCACAACATTTTTCAGGACAATCTGCAGTGCACAAACCAGTTCCACCGCTGCAAATTTTGGAAGATGCAAGTGGTGCACACTCGTAAGTGCATGTGCACAACAATAACCCAACTGATCCATCACATTTGCTCATGGTCGATGGCCCGTGTTTGGTTTTACATCTTTCGTCGCAGTTTTCACAAGTGCCTAGGCTGTCGTTGCATGAATCTGCTCTTGTCTGATTCACAACTAGAGTAATATTGTATTGTATACCTTATTAAAATATAACATAAAAATAAGAGTACATGAAAGATATACAAAATATATAAAGTACCTGCGACAAATATAACAAGCAAGCTAACAAGGAATACAAGTGAAGTTGTCATCTTCGTACTTTCACGTTTTCTAAGTTTCTTATTAACGTCCTTTGTAAGAGAATTGGTACATCTATTTAAAATCAAGCTGAAGATCTTGAACAAGAAACATAATAATTCTAGGAAGAAAAGAATTTCAAATTAAGGACATTAATTTGTGGACCATAAAAGTTGAACCAATAAAGTGCATAAAGCACTCCATAAAATCTATACAATTTTCAAAATTAAAAAAAAAAAAATCACATTTGTCTTTTATGCAAGATTTTCAAAATGATTAATATTTATTTTAAATTTCAAAAAGTATAAATAAGGTTATATGTAATCTATTATTGTTTAAAACAAATGGAAAAATAAAAATAAATGATTGAATTATAAATAAAGTTATAATTAAATAAAGTTATATGTAATCTATTATTTTTCAAAACAAATGAAAAATGACTTAAATATAAATTTAATTAACTAATTTTTCTTTGACAATCAATATTAATTAAATGTAACGTCCAGACCGCCGTCTTTCTCAATGGGCCCATGTTCACCACAGCTCATGGGCCCACCTCTTAATGGGTCTCACGTCCTCGCATTAGGCCCATGAGCCCATTAATATCCGACGGTCGGTTTGCTACGTCCATGAGGCTTAAATACTTATTTACCGACCTTACAAATCACCACATATTAATTAAATGTAACACCTCGATCGTCATCTCTTCCAGTGGGCCCATGTTCACCACAGCTCATGGGCCAACCTCTTTTAATGGGCATCACGTCCTCTCACTAGACCCATGAGCCATTAATATCCGACGATCGGTTTGCTACGTCCGGGAGGTTTAAAGACTTGTTTACCAATTACCATAAGCACACTTAACTGTGGAGTTTTCTGAGGACGATTGACTGAAAAAATAAATGCACTTTGGTAACATAGGTGGTCAAATCAATTTATTTAAACTTTTCCGCAAACCAGGGTCTCACATTAAATTACTGATATACTCTACACCCATTCTAATGTGGAAACCTAGGGAAATTATCAAGAGTCGTTACCATATTTTTGAAAATATTAACACATACAGTATATAGTATGTGTAAATAAACCTTATATTCTTAGAGAAAATGTATTGAAGTAATTTAAATTATTTACGGTTTGGTGTATTCTAAAAGTTATCATGTGTTTCGTTAACCAAATTGTACGTCCAAAAGTATTGCAACATGCATAAATTCAACTTTAGCTTTTTAGCCAAGAAAATCAACTTCATTGGTTTGGTAAACCATATATCACATATAATTTAATAGCTAAACTAAAATATAGTTAGTATGATACCAATATATATAGAGTATATTATGGTTTCTTGAATTTGGTAAGACCAATTCTTCTAATCTTCTTGAAATTGAAAATGATTTAAATTGGTGTAGGACTGAGAACATACACATGTTATATAATTTGGTGTTCGTATTCTATTCTTAACATTAATGTGTATGGAGGACTTCTGGTTGGAAAGCAAGTATTTATATGTTTCAATATTCATTTGATCGGATTGGATCCGAAATACATGTATTCTTAAGAAAATAAATTACCTACGTATTCTTCACTTAAATTTTACATAAACCTACAAAACATCTAATAAAATGAAACAAATAAAAAATTCTAAAACATCCTACAAAATGGAATGAAGTGAGTATTGACTCTAACACAAAATTAAGTAAATCCATTTAAATTTGTAATGCTCTAAATTACAAGCTTCATTGTTCGATTCCTCCAAGACTTTAATAGTTAACAAAAATACAAAATTAAACAATGTACTGCGGAATTATTCTTAGTGATTAATTCAATTATTTTTCTCTAAAAAGAATGATTATTATATTATTATATCCTTTTACAAAAAAAGAATGTTATATAAATCAATGAGCTGATATAATTTGTAAAATTAGGTGAATAGTTTCTGTGTTCAACAAAACTTAGATGGTGGGAGTCTTCTTCTACAACTTTTCAAAGTCTACCAAAAATCAATGCTTCAAACTTTGAAGTCTATACCAAATATCAGTGCTCAAGTCAAAGTCTTTCCTACACCCCAATAAAGCAAAAAAAAAAAAAAAAAACTTAAATTCCAAGTTAGATTTTACTTTTCTACCTTTTTTAGGTTTTTACACATTCTTTTCTTGTTGGTTTTACCAAGTTTTCTTTTTCTGAAGAAGGTTTTATAAAATAATAATTTTTTTTCCCAAAAAGAATGTTAAAAAGGTAACATAAACAAAAATTTACTTTTTTGCATATTAGTCAATAATGGTAGGTGAATTGTTGTCTATACATTCTTTTGTTTAGTCGTATATATCAATCAACCTTGTTTCTCTTCTTTGTTATACCTCACAATTAGTTTATACATTTTCAAGATGAGCCTTAAAAGCAGAGTAACCTCAATATCATCATCTCACAACCTTCACCATTCCGAAGAAAGAGTCCCTCTCCGATCAGATTCAGACCAGACATGCCTCAATTCAAGCCCCGAGTTCGATTTTCGCATCCGACAAAACTCAAAACAACGGTTTTCTCACGCCGACGAGCTTTTTTCAGACTGGAAAAGCCTCTCACACTCTTCCACCGACACTATTTCGAAGAAGAACGAAGTTACTTCTCCGAGAAGCAATCTCCAAACCCTAGCCGCGAAATCTGGCACAAAAGAGTCTGATGACTCAGAAGATGATCCAAGTTTTGGTTGTGGGTTTTGGCTTGTCAGAAGCAAATCTGTTGGATACTCAATGAGAAACAAGAAAACGAATCCTTCTTCTGAGTATCAAAGGAGCAATAGTGATCCTGATCCACAAAAGAAGAAGAAGAAGAAGAGTTTGCAAAAGATGAACTCTACAGAGTTTAGAGCTCCAAGATCTATGAATAGTCCAGCGTTGAATGTTCCATTGGCTGATTTATTTTGCCTCGGCCCTGTTTTTTCCGGTAGCCGTGATCGGAGAAAGTGAAGTGTTCTCTTATCTTTATTAACAAAGATCCTAAAACTAATTTCTTGAACCACATGTGAAGAGTTAGGTATATATATTTGGAGCAAGACGAACTAAAGAATCTTAATGTGGATCGTCATACTCATACATAAGTCTAAGAATCTAATTCGAGTTTTTTTTGTTTTGGTTTTTTTTCATGTTATTGATTTGTTTTTTACATTAGTTTATGAGAATAAATAATAAAAAGGTTGATGTAATTTTCATATACTACTGTTTTTTTTTTTTTTGTGAAATGGTTAAGTTATACCTTGGAAAAAAACATATAACCGACAAGTGATAAAATAGTCAAACGTACACATATGTTGATTAAATATGTGGAATTTAAAACATTTGACTAGTTAGATTGACAAATGTTGACAGATAAAGTTGACTGTTGACTTGTATTATTGTCTTTGGTTGTTCCAAAATTGTAATTGTTAATATATGTCTTAAGATAATTTTAAAATAAAATAATATGTTGATGTTCATTTATATGTTTGATTACAAAGTAATATTCATTTATATGTTTAAAACAAAATAATTAACGCTAAGTATCCACCTAAGTAATGCTATATTTAAAAAATCAAAGTATTGTAATAAATAAGAAATAATATCTAAATAAAACGAATTTAATCAAATAAATAAAAATTTAAAATAGTTAAAAATTCTATGAATTTCTTTTTATAAAAATGACATGACTTAACTTTACAGGATATGACTTAGCTTTTGAATGTGTCAATAGGTTTTAGAATGGAAGTAAAATTATTTGTTAAGCGAATTATTAGTTTTTATAAAATAATATACTAATTTTTTGTACATTATTATTAATTTTTACTAAAAACAAAATATTACTTAACTCTACTAAAATAAATATAATTTAAAGTGAAGACACTGTAGGCCACAGTTTTTTGTGAAAGATAAAAAAAAGACTTGAAATAATAGTGATATATAAAGTCGTTAAAAAAAGTGAGATGTAATTTGTCTCACATATTTCATGAGGTATGAGGTATCTTATTTACTAGACTAGCAGCATATGTTGGTTTACCTTATTTACATATGAACATTTATAATATTGTGTTGTTACAACGTGTTTCGCCAAATGCATCGCGCTGTTATAATAAAATTGATAAAAATTCAAACTTGTATATATTTATTTTCTTATCATGTTTTAGAATTTTAGTTTCACTTGAAACATACTAGGAACATTTGTGTAAATGTTCTGTTCATATGTAAATAAGGTAAACCATCGTCACTAGTCTACAAATATTAGTCTAGTTTTTAAAAACCATACAAATATAGTCTAGTTTTTGTAACCACATCCAAAGAAACTTCCATCGCCCAGATAAAACACAAGTGGATACAGCTTCTTTTTTTTTTCTTTTTTTTTTGTTGTTGTTGTTGTTGGAAGCTTCTTGGAAGAAACGTTAATATCTTCACCAGCAAATCATCATGCAATCCATTGATGTTCATATCTTACGATTGCAAGTTAATGTCACTGATACGTAGGATTAAAAATATATATATATATATATATAAATATCCCATAAGACTTAAGGATTTGTCTTAAGCCAAGTAAACGAATTAATTAAAGGAAATACAGCCACATCCCACATACACACATTTACACGAGACAAAACCCTAAAACATGCTGAAATCCTAGAAAATAATGAAACCCACATTAACACATAGTTCTATAATAAATTAAATAAATCTTAGGATTAGGGCTGATGAGAGAGACTATTTTTGTTTATCATCTTTAGATTTATTAGTTATTGATTTTAAGACTGTAATTTTTTTTTTTTTTAAAAGTTCAAATCAACATTTATTCCAACAAGTTTTAATGTGAACCAATATTGACAAAAAAAAAAACGAAAATAAAACATCCTTTGTTTTGTGTTTTCCACCAAGGAGAAAGGATATATTATACACAAACATTTTTTTTTTTTTTTGGCATTGCTCAGGTTTAGAGTGTCAGAAGACATTAAACAGAATACATATGGAAACTAGAATCCAGTTAAAATAAGAAAAACATGTATGTAACGATTCAAACCCTCAAGTAAAAACAAGTTTACATGTATTTGAAGCTCGGGTGCAAAGGGCCAACTCCTTTAACATGTCATGGGTTTCCATATAATATGGTTGAGACTCGATTGTTACAGCCTTTAAGCGACGACCGTTTTTCAAGATATAAGTCGCAAGATCTCTCTCTTGAGATCTTCCTAAATATATGAACCACTTGACGATTTCTAGGCTCGACAATATACATTCCGGAACAGTAGTTGGTGGATTCCAGTCATTCTTGTCATCTTTAAAATCAGATCCATGAAACTGGGATGATCAAGAAAAAAAAATATTAGATAAAGAACCATAAAACCATAAATAAACAACAACAAAAACCAAGAGTTTATCTAACAAACTTACAAGCATTCTGGAGGATTCTAGTACTTGTAACTTAGGAGAACCTTTGAGCAACCGGACAAGGAAACTCGACGAATAGGCTTTGCATTCACATATCTTGAGATGTTTAAGTTTGTTGAAGACGAAACCATCACTATACACAGCCTTGATCACAATATTTCAAAAATAAAAAATCATTAACAGATGCATTGGATAATGAGATTGAAAAAACTTGCACTTGATATATAAAAACTGATTTACCTCAAGTGGTGGGCATATGAAAAGATGCTCGGCAGATGAGATTGATGCGATAAGACTATCGATATTAGAAAAGCGGTTAATCTCTACTAATGCCTTCCTCAACTCAGGCATCTTCTCAATCATACTGAAGTGACAATTGGAAAAATGAAATCTAAATCTCAATTGCTTCAAGGAAGGAGTATTTAACACAAACTCGTCTAAATCATTAGTTAAAAAGAGTGTTAATCTCTGCAAAGACGGGACGATAACAGTCAACTTTCTCATACCGTCACAACCAAATCTATCCACTACAAGATTTTCAAGAACAGGGCAATTAGATAGAAGTCGTTTCAGAAAACGATTAGTGACGTCTGTCCCTCCTTCAAGTCCCAAAGTTTTGAGAGAAGGAAGACAAACCATACGAGGAACATTCAAGAGAATCGGTCCTTTGAGTATCAAGCCGACGAGCGACTTGCAAGTATACAAGCTACTCGGTAATATGTTTCGTCCATGAATGAGATGATTATCAATTATCAGTACACGGATTTGGCGAGAAACTAAGATTCTAATCCAACGGATGTAATCTTTAGGTTCAATATTTGAGTCCGAAGATACGTCGATACGAACTCTTTCAATGACGAGAGCTCTATGTAAAGGCAGATTCTTGTCAATGAACTCCCTAGATTCAGGCTCTCTACACATATACTCTAGTTTTTGCAACCACATCCAAAGAAACTTCCATCGCTTAGACAAAACACAAGTGGATATAGCTTCTTTTGTTGGAAGGAAAGTTAATATCTTCACCAGCACGTCATCAGACAATCCATTGATTCTGTCCATACCTTGCAAAATCAAGAAAAGAATACCAGTCCAAGGATTTGTCTTAAGCGCCAAGTAAACAAATTGGTCATTAGAGGAAACACAGCCACATACACACATAGAAACGAGACAAAACCCTAGAACATGCTGAGACGACCCACGTACACAGATATAGAACGAGACCAAACCCTAGAAGACTCTAAAGATGAACAATACCTTAACAATACCGCTGTAAGCTATTGGAAATTTAATACTCCCGAAGATATCGCAGAGACAAATTGTCAGAATATAAAACCCTATTGATCTTCTTTTTTTTTTTTCTTGGTCACCAATTTTAAACCCTATTGATCATATTTTTATATCCAACATAATTTTAGCTTCAACCTCTATTGGACCGGGCTTTCTATCCGACATGTATTTTTCGATTCACAATTCTCAGCACAAAAGTAAGTTTTATATTTTACCTCTAGGAACCGACTGTTTTGTATTCTCAGCACATGTATTTTTCTTTCTTACACAAAAGTAAGTTTTGTATTTTACAAAATTTAAAAGATCATTAATAGATGATTCGATAAATGAGATTAAAAACTTGCACTTGATATATTAAAACTTATTACCTCAAAAACGATAAAGTGGTAGGCATATTGAAAGAAGCTCGTCAGATGAGATTGATCCGATAAGACTCGAGATATTATGCCTCCCTCGTCTCAGGCATCTTCTCAATCAAACTCAAGTAGTTCAAAGAAGGAGTACTTATCACAAACTCGTCGAAATCATGAGTTATACAGAGCGTTAATCTCTGCAAAGACTTTCTAATCTTGCCACAATTTGTACATTCCTCCACTAGCAGATCTTCAAGAACAGGGCAATCTCAGAGAACCATTATTGAAGTATGTCACTTCCTCAAGTCGCAAAGTTTTCAGAGCTATTTGAGGAACATATCCAAGAGAATCATTCCTTTGAGATTCAAGGTGACAAGCTATTTGCAAATATACAAGCTACTCGGCAATATCTTAGGCTTTTTGGTATAAGAAGAATAATGAATATCCAACTCATGTACACAGCGAGAAACAGCAACTAAAACCCACATTTTGATATCTTCAGGCTTAAAAGAATCTCATTTTGATATCTTCAGACAGAAGCTTTCTAAAATCGGAGCTCTATGTAATGGAAGATTTATGTCAAGAAAACACTGTAACATCATTCAATGAAACTCCCATTGTTTCGACAATACGCTAGTTAATTTAATTAGATTCGATATGTTGCAAATTATTTATTTTCGAATAATAATTTTATCAATAAAATTACAGATTCACAATTTCAAGAAAATTGTATTATATATAAAGAATAATTGGATTTATATTACATTTTTGAAAAGTATTTGGCAAACAGGTACTATTTACAATTATAGAAACACACACATGACACTGTAGCAGCTTTTAATTAACCCAATTATGCCACTCTCTAACATACATATTTACTAATTGATGCCATTATCTCTTTTCTGATTTTTTTAATCTCTTTTACACTCCCATGGATCTAATAAACAAATTCTTAACTAATTTAAAATTTGTTTCTTCAATTTTTTCACATAACTAAGAATATATGTTTTTTTCTCTATTATTTGAGATGCATTTTCTTTGATGTTTTTGTTTGATAATCTCAAATACATTTCATATATTTTTATCCGTACGACTCATTCAATGTACAAATATATTTTTATTCGTACAACTCAGTATGTGTACAGATATATAGTAGTTTACACATTTTTATAATCGTATATTAGAATATTTGAAAAAGTAGAATATTTGTATAATAGGATATATGTACAGATTGACAATATTTGTACATTTGGACAATTGTACACATATAATATAAATGTGAACTTGTTATTTAGAAGTTTTGATATATCTATTAAGATATTTATAAAGTTAGGATATATGTACATTAGGATATATGTCAAAATGTGTTAATATGTACATTCAAACCACTGTACACATAGAAAATAAAATGTATACTTTCTCCGTTTCACAAAGAGTGTCATTTTAGAGTTGTATTTTTGTACATACATATTACTGTATAGATTTCTTCTATATAGTGATATATATTTGTACAGACATCTTTATGTACAATGATTTATAAATGTACATACATTTTTGTGTACAGTTGTATCAAACTAAAACATCGAGTCATAAACATCAATGTAGTAAATTGTACGCATAAAATATGCATGTAATGTATTTGAAACTATTAAACATAAACAACTATACATATATAGCTTAAACTGTACACATATTATATATGTATATATAAAATTATGTATAACAATTATACATAAGAATGTATGTACATATATAATTATGTATATTTAGACTATTATACAACTTACAAAGTTTACAAATGTAATGTACATAAGTAATCCGTACAACCTGCTAAGTGTACAGTAATCCATACAACCTACTAAGTGTACAAATTGTAAACAATTGTATTCATATTTCTACAATAGAATATATATACAAATACAACTGTATATACATAAATTAGATTGTACATATAACTATATGTATATAAAATGTATGTATAACAGTTGTACACAAGGATATATGTACAAATACAATTGTGTATATACAGAATATTATACAAAGTTTAAAATTATTTAACAAAATGCATATCAAATTATAGAGAAAAAAATATAGATTTTTTTGTATGTGAAAAATATCAGAAAAAAAAATTATACTGACGAATATTTTAATTATTAGAATGAGAGGGTGTAATAAAAAGAAAATAAATTATTTTTAAAAAAAACTCTCACTCCACACACAATGACACACACACGCACACACCCATTCTCAATCTATCAAGCCTATTTTCGTCTTTTTCCAAACACTCTCTTACCCTACATCATTTCCTATCTCTACTATTCTCTATCTCACAAACAGTAATACTCACCTAATACCTCAATTATAAATAGTATACCTGCTACTTTTCCAATTACTTTTGAAAAATGTACTAAATAGCCTACTCAACCTATATATAATTAAATAAAATGGAAAATCTGATGTCAATAGAAAACAATTAAAAACTAAAGAATGTGTATAGACGTTCTTCTTCACAGTCACAGCCATAACCAAAAATAGAAATGTTAAAACTCGTTAGAAATATTATAATTAAACTGATTTTTAACGAAATTATGTTTTAAAAATATGAAATATAATTTCAACTAAAGTAAAGGTTATGTGGTTTGTTAAAGCATTGCGTGTATTCAAATGTTGAATTCTGAGTATTATGTATTTATAGAAAGTTTAGAAACGTCAAACGTGTATATATGTGTATATGTCTACGCACATTACATTTTCAGCTTAAAGTTTTTGAGGATTTGAGTCGGTGGGAAAAATGTATGGACAAGAGGAAATGTACATACAAATTTAGTAACAAACTTAGTAAATAAGAGTTTCCTAATTGAAAAAGTTGTGGTCTCAATCAAAAAGCAAAATAGAAATGGTAAAATATCAAAGACTTCTGTGCATGGAAGAAACAACATCAAGTCATCAACTTGACACACGCTACATCTATAATTCTCTATATAAACCAGAGGATCAAACATTAAGAAGAACATAAAAGAGAAGAAGAGCAAAGAAAAAACTAGACCTAAGTATTTAATCATTCTTGTTCAATACTACCAAACAAATCAAGAAAATGGTTCTTACAGATGCTCAGATTCTTGAAATTGTGGCTGACATGGATCGTATCACAGAAGCAATGGCGAAAACTGAATATAAGGAGAAGGTAAAAGTTGATGATACTCTTATAATAATTAACTAACAGCTTTATATATATATATATATCCATTGTTTTTTATGTACAAAATATATATAACTAGATTTTTTGCATAAAATAATTAGGATTGGTATAGGAAAAAAGAAATCAACGACATGCTCAATAAAATTTCAGTAAGAACTATTACTATTATGAAGCACAAAGGTGAGACTGAGATTCTCAAGGAGCTTAACGATGAGATACGTAGGATCAATGAAGCAAAAGCAGTAAATGAAGAAGATATGAAGGTAAATATATATATATATCCATTTAAATGCGTTTAATAAATTATAACAATGCAACTATACATATGTTATTATTTTCTTTTGTTGTCAATAATTAAAAATGCTAATTGGATTATTGAAAATTTTAGAATTTGATCGAGAAAATACGCAAAGCTGTTGCTGAGGCAGATAAAGAATATCGCTCTTCTAACTAAAGGAATAAAGCTCGATGGGATGACAAAGTAAAGAAGAATAATTAGTAATAAATATTACGGTAATACTAATGCATGTACCTAGATAACTGAAAAATAAAGAAAACAACATTGCTAAATTTTTAATTAGATCTCTTTCCTTTGACTGAATTAATGTCACAACTACCCTTTGTTATATGTATACGCTAACAAAAAAATTAACGAGATAACGAAATAACAAGTTATAATCTCCAGTAAAAATAAATATTGTTTATCCATCATCGATTGCACTATTCATCACCAAATATAACATAGAATTTTGTGGTTATATTGCGATAAATATTTTGTTATATGGTAAACTCATATTTACCATGTTAAAAATTTTATTATACGATTGATATCATCCAACTTAAATAATAACATCTAAATTACTTCGATAATTTATTTATTACTGTTAACTTATACATTATCATATTTATATCCTTATCTTTGCAAATGATTTGTTCATTTGCAAGATAGACAACCTATATCAAATCCGAAGAGAATAAGAACTATTATTATCTTTTTACCGTCAGTAGTGATAAATATTATTCTCGAAATATGTTTACAATTACTAGTGGTAAATATTAGAGATATCATTCTCTCTCTTGTCAATCTAATTCAAAGAAGAAAACAACACATGTAGATACTTAGTTATTTAGTCTTCTATGGTCATGTAATAATATTATATTTTTGCCGTCACTAGTGATGAATATTGTTCTTGATGCTTGTTGAGCAGTGATTTTATTAAAGTTTAATGTCATATAACATGATTTACAATTCAAAAATAATAACCGTGTAAAAGCGCAAGATTCTCTCGCCAAAGGCGATTTCTTCGTAGCAGTTTCTTAGGCCACAAAACAACCTCCATCAACTCAGATCTCCGGCCGGCGCTGGCTTCTCCGGCGTCGGTCGGTCCTTTTCTGTTTTCTTCTAGTTTTCATCTTTCCTTCTTTACAGATTTAAGTAATTTACTTGGCAAAATCAGAATCTCAAGTTCTCGTCGTTTTATTGATGATGGTGGTATATATGAATTCGATGAGAAATAATTTCACGGCTTTAATTCTGGTACCATCTCTGACTTGGGTAGCGTCTCAACACATTCATATTTCGTTGGGAGTTTTGAATCCAAGTTTGACAAGCGTCGCATCGGTTGGTTTCAATTGTGAACGGTTTTCTTCTCAATTTTGTTT